TTATTTCATCATAATTTTACACTTTCCTTATCATACCGTTGCCGTAATAATCTCTTATATATTTAATAGCTCCATATGCTGATTTGAATACTTTCTCGTCGAATTGAAGCCTTTCAAATGTCAAACCAGAATCAAATTCATCGGCTTAAAAACCACAAAAAAAAAACATATCGTTTTCACCACTCTCGGAACCGAAATCGATCAAGTTTACCCATCGTCCTTTCTTGATTGGAGCAATGGCATACTCGGTACGCACAAACTACAGGATTTCTGTATCAAATAAATATTTCACCTAACCAATAGTTAAAATTTGGAAATTTTCGATTGACATTCGTCGTATACTGGGCAATGCTGCAATTCATTTTCGAGCGTGCTCTCATTGTGCGAAAGCATTTATAATTCTGCACGAGCAATAAAACATACACTATACAAAAAAAAAAAGGAAACTGAGTATTTCGCTGGTAAATCGTGATCGAGTATCGCCTCCCCTCAAACAACGATATTTATACGCGATCGAGTAATGCTCGCGGATGAAACCTCGAAGCTCGTAAAATACGTCTCGCTCGTAGGAGACGTTACACATCAGCGATGCATTCCACGATCATGATCGCCGTGCGCGACGGTGGTGACGCACTGCCCATTTTTCCGCCGCGCTCTTAATTCGCATCGCGCGATCGCGCTCGGATCAATCAATTACCCCGTCGTAAATCAATAACCGGCGTCGACATTTCGCGTTTCCGGCTGTGCTTGACGCGCGTTAACGTACCGCGCGAGGTCTGCGACGATACGTGCTATCACGGCGGAAAAGGTCGCGCGGCGAATTTTCCCTCGTCCGTTCGTCCGTGCGTCGCGATAGGGCGCGAAATGCGGCGGAAAGGAGACGAGAGGCGAAATTGAGGCTTCTCTCGGAGAAAGGGTCGATTCGTCGGAGCGACCCTGATAACGACGGCCGATGAATACCGCCGGCCGCGATACCGGGCCCGGGAATCGCGAACCCTTTTACCGATCGACCTTATCGCGCGGCATTATACAAACTTTGCCCCGCGACCCGCCTAATCACCAAGTGATAAAACACAGCGCGACGGAGAGAATGGACGCGGTCTCCACGGGTTCCGCGGTTGTGCCATGTGTCCGTGCGCGAGCACAAACGTCCGCTCGATACGCGAGAGAATGCGCGTCCAACGCGTTCACATTCGTTGATGAAAAGCTCTTCCGATACGAGCTGACGCTGCGCTCGATCGATCGATCGCAAGTCGCCGTGAAAGTATTCGCGATTCGACGGCGAATCAGCCGCACCAGTCGAAACGTCCAGCTCGGTCGAAGGCCTGTTACTTTTACCTCGACTAGGCCGCATTCTTCTTCTCCGTTAGAGCGAAACAAACGCGTAGCCTTGTTCGGGAGGGAAAAGGAACGAGTTCAGGTAGAAGGAACGGGATCACGATCTTCACGCTCGTGCCTCTGTTATCTGCGATCTCGTACAGAATATTTTTCATTAACACTGTTTCCTAGACATGGGGACGTCGGGAATTTTCAATCAGGCGCATCATTTCGAAATATTTTCGCACACTGAGAAATGAGTTCGGTCGAATCTATCTGATAATGGACAACCATGAGCGTTTTGGTCGGAGAGAACGTGATTTCTAGTTCTCATTTACTAAATTCGGTTCTTACAGCCAGAGATTCGGTTTCCTTCAACCGCGTTCTGATTGTCGGGTAGATCCAACGAAACTTATTTTTCAGTACATCGTGATCGCTGCCTCGGAGCATCGTTGCCGGTTTACAGAATAATCAACAGTCATGATGCACAAATATTCCGAAGTAATGCGCTTAATTAGAAATTTTTAACGTTACTATGCCTAAGGATTGGGATATAATAATATTTTTATTATTATAATTATAATTTAGTTCAGGTACGTTGAAAAATAAGTTTGGTTTTATCCCACAATGAACGAGCAAATGTGTATTGACTAAAGGAAGCGGGATTTTTGGCTGTAAGAAATTTGGCTTTTGGAAGCTCGAAATTTTCTTTCCTTCAATCAAAACCGCGTTCGGTTGTTCATTCCCAGATGGCGCGGTTAATTTCATATACGTTCTCCGAACGTACATATGCGACAATGAAACGTTACATACGTTTAAAGAACGTATACGTGACGTGAAACTGACACGTGCGTACCAGGGTTCCTCGATTAAATCGTCGAAGCTCGGAATAATGAGCGATATAGCACTTACAAGCGATTTAAAGCGACGAAACCGCCGTAAACGAAACTTTTAGGTGCCGAGGGAGCGGCACTTCGTTACGGAAGTTGAGAGGATGAACGAACTTCGCCTTCTCCCGCTTTCAATTTCACGGTTCAATCGCTGAACCGTGGCCGTGGCAGTAATAATAGTAGTTACATCGGTTAAATTTAATCGGGAGTTGGGAATTGATCACACTCGTATCGGGCCGGTCTTAATGCCGCGGAATATTCCACCTCGCGTATCCCTCGCTCGAAGACTCGTCGCCATTCGTCGAGAGGATAAACCACGCACGTCGATCTCTATATCCTATATTCAGTCTCCCTCGTAGATTGCTCGGTGATTGCACGCCACTTGTCTTCCTTCAAGCGACACGTTCAAGCGCACTGTGTTTGCGGCCTGTCATAACGATGTCCGCGATACTGTCGAGATGAGAATCGGTATCGTCCGTTAGCATAGTTACGACTGAGCAAAGATGTTTCCCGCCGATATCCATATTACGTCCCTCGTTTTCCTCCCGCGAACGATAAAAATTGCAAAAGCTCAAACCGGCGAACGATATGAAGTGTTCAGTCACGGGGAGATTCCTGGCTAATGAATGTTACGTAATGAGTTTTTAAACGGATACAGGTTGGAAATATATTAATGCAAGATATATATGTATGACGGTGCAGGTAATAATTGTAAACTATTATATTATTATATTACTATAAATATTAAAAGCGTCGGCCGGACAACTGTCGATGGAAGCGAGAATCGTGCGAATTCGGAGAGCTCGTTTCATTTAATTCGATTCTTAATCGGTCGCAAATAAATTCACCGCAACTTCGGGGCGTTTCTTCTCATTTCGTTGTTTCGATATTCGAACGATATTTTTCATTCATGCGTATTTAACGTCGTTGTGATGGCGATCAGTTTCGCTGCAAGCTCTGGGGTTCTAGAATGAAGCGAATTGCACGGGATTACATATCTCTTACGAAAAAGTATTACTGGCTGTGATAAATTGGCCAGTGATAAATTACTATCGCTCGGTACTTTTTTTTTTCACGAGTATAAAAAGAAAATAAAACTACCGAGCAGAACAGTAATTTATCACTGGCCAATTTATCACAGCAGATAATATTTTTTTCGTAAGGGATGTCAAACGAGTATTTTGACAAACCGTTTGGGATATGTCAAGAGACAGTCCTTCCGTACCGTCAATTAAGTGTTGCACAGATACGCGGCCAATCTTTCATATTGTAATCCACTTAAACCGTTAAACAATCGTCTAACAGAATTACAAAATATAATGCATATAACTCTACAAATAGGAAACAAAAGATTTCAAAATTGAAGAAAGGAAACCATTGTTCGCAGGATCTCTCTTTAAAAAGGGTTGGATGTTTCATTATTTAATGCATTACATAAGCCACAACATAAAAGTACAACTTTTTTTTGACAATTAACGACAATTCCGTAATCCTAGGAACAGCTTATGAATATTAAATTATAATTCACTTAAGCTATGTATGACGAAGGATAATATTCTCTATAATGCAATTCGTTTTACTTGTCTCCCATTCAATTTTCTCCGATCGAGATCGAAACAAGCGTTTTTAATCGTAGATTTGTATTCGGCTCGGAAGGAAGACTAACGGAGTTTTAATAGACCGCAAAATTAATCGATAGTACGGCAACACGACCGCCCTCTCATCGGAAGCGGGACGGTCTCAGCTTTCGAATGCACGTTCCACGTCGCTACTTTTCTCCGTTGCGACGAATCCTTTGATGGGGTCTGCGGCCCGCTGACAACGTTGCGTGTCGCTTCCTTTTCAGTGCGTCGCCTTTTTAGCCGCGACAGGTGTTAAGCCTGAGTCGCGGATGCGTTACAATATCGGCCTTCGCAAACTCCGGATTCTTTGAACGTCCGTATCTCGGCGGAAAATTGACGTAGAAACATGAAACAAACGCCGTACTTCTCGGGATTTTACGCGCTGCACGCGTTCACATTGGTCGCGTGTGCGATCTCTTGTCATGACATCTGTTCATATGTATAATTACGACATGTGGTATTCGCTATATATTAATGTATACATATGTCGAAATATATCGAAGATAAAGAAATATAGAGAGTGTCGAGAGAGACAGTTGTTATCACACGAAGCGCGAGGTTTCGCACGTATTTCGCGCCATTAATTGACCAATTTATAGCAGTCTACGATAAAACGTTTGTTACTCGAATACATTGGCACCCAGCCTCTCGAGGATTTCACTCGTAAGTGATTAGAAAAGAACGTTCGTGTGCTAAAAATATTCGCATGATTATATTATAACCAAATTCGATTATGTAGAAATTTGATAGTAATACAACCACATACGAATTTTTACTACACGAATTATATTATAATCAAACATCCATTAATGTAAAATAAACATCTTTATTTATTTCTACAGAGAAACTCGGAGATTTAACACTCGATGATTTATTCTCTGGTGATAATAATCCAAATATTACGGCATAGATCATTTTATCGCTTAGACAACTGCATATGTGTATACACAAGTATAATTTTTTTTTTCTTTTTTTCAATTTTTTCGTATGTTTCAATGGTAACGTAATACTGGGCTACTGATTAAATAGTTTCACGTAACTGTATTCACTGAAACTCGTAGAAGGATAACATACAATTACGTACGTATTCGAACGCATATGAAGGGTCATGTTGTCCACATCAGTCCGGCATTCAGTCGACATTCCTGGAAATAAAAGGAGTCAATTAGCACATATGATCGATCACACATTACCGCCGAAGACACGATATTAATGGCATTATAAAAGGGTATAACTGTACTTGAATCGGTTTCGCGATTAAATACTTAAGATGAGAATATGCTGAAACACAGATGCACACAAGTGACATTAGTTATCTTGGTTTTTGTAAAATAACGTGTATTTCGAAAAATCCAACGTTTCATATGTCCAATTACATTAATTATAAGCTTCAAAACATTTCTTTTAATTCTAACGAACATAGTGATATAAGAACATACGGTATAATTAATTCGTAACGTATAAACTATTATTATAGCGAATCAGGTAATAAAGAAGATACGAGGTATAATGCGATTTAAAGGAGATCGTCGTAGGAATCGCTATCGCTATAAATGTCAAGAGAAGGTCGTTCTCTGAGCAATACTTGTTCTACGTACACGATGCGAAGTGTATTCGTAAAGCCGGAGCCTTGTCGCCATCCCGTCACAACTATAACCGAGTCGCCAGTTTTGACGAAACCGCGACCCTTGCCGAAGTTCAATCCGTATTGCACACGTGTGTCTACGTCTTTTACCCAGTCGGCTAATGGTGACTCTGTATAGTGGGAAAAGTAGTTTTATTATAACGCACTGTATCTTTTCATGACGCATCAAAACATGCCCTCCATGATAATCAGTCATAGGAAAGGAAAGAAAAAATAGAATACAAACGAAAAACCAACAAAAACAAACGGAAAATGGAAAAAAAGGGAAGCAAATGACGAAGAAATGGAAGTTTATGTTAAGTCAAGTATTGTGTCATGTATGAGAAAAAAAAGTTTGTTCAAAGTTATTTAACGATGAACAAATCATACGCGTTTTGGTTGAAGGAAGCAGAATTTCCAATTCTAAGAACAGAATTTGATTCACGTAAAAACTAGAAATTTTGTTTCTCTTCATTTAATTTATATATTTAAGTTTAATTTATCCATTGTCGGGTAAATTCAATCAAACTTTTTATCGTGTAGTGTGATTTTTCAAAAATACAAGGAAAAGCAAACTGAATAATCAGACAAAAACTCGTAACTCTGAAATCATATCTCTGTTACCTTGATTAAAAACATTCGCTTGAATATTCGGTTGCTATAAGAAGCGATTGACGTAACTGAGATCAATTGACTAAGCAGAAACCTCCTACAGGAATCTTTCCGTTATTACAGAAAAAAATAATTTTGTAGGTGTAGTAAAACTATCGTTTTTGCTGCATAGCCGTTGCGATAAAAATAATATTTAACTGGTATAACCGAATTAGCGTGTTATTTGTAATTAGAGTAGAAACAGTTCCGCTGCTAGAATATTCTGCTAAATGAATTTGTTCCTAAGAAAAATTAATTTGAGTAAAATAACGTTCTTTTTTTTTTAATTGACTAGTTTATTCTTACGGCAGAATAATTTGTAAATTCAGCAAGATAAACCAGTAAATGGCAATCAGTATTCTTAAAAAAATTGCTGTCTACATAATAGACAGATTTTTCTGCGACGGCACAAAATTTGCTGTCCCAACAATTTTCCTTCGCGAGTTTTCGTCTGGCAGATAACAGAAAATCAGTCGCACATACAGTTTTTCTTTTCCGTGTATATTAAAAACGATTAATTTAATAGAAATTTCCGGTTAATGCTGTACCTCCGTAATACAACGGCAATATTCCGCGATACAAATGCGCCTGCCGTGCGACTTGATGGAACCTGGTGACCGCGATGATCGGGCAACGCGGCCTGTACTTCGCGATCAGGTGTGCCGATCGACCTGACGTTGTAATGACGATGATGGCGGAGGCCAAGCATTTGACAGACGCCTCCACGGAGGCGACGGCGACGGCGTGCGTGGCGTCGATAGGCGGCAGTGCTTTGCTCGACAGATCGTGGAAGATTTGGGTCTGCCAAATCGCCGCCTCCGCTTCCTTACAGATATTGGCCATTGTGCGAACACATTCCAGTGGATATTCTCCCTTCGCGGTTTCACCTGGAAACGCGGACAGTATGAGGTTTCTGCGTACACTCATTAAAGAAGAGAGATTAGCTAGACGGAAAAAAAGAAAATTGCGATAGATCTCGGGTTTATCGGTAAATGAACGGTTTATATATCTCCCTCGTAATTTTATATCACTTTCAATTAGCCGCGATGTCGCAACGCCTCTTCACGTTGATAAGTTAATGAATTAATAAAGCTTTTTATTCATCTTATCTTTCGCCACGCTACTTCCACTTTGTAATCGTTATCATTCTTGTGGATTTATTTATATATCACTTTTCACTTCTCGCGCTCTTCTTGTCTGTTCTTTTTTGTATTTTCCTTCTATATTCCCGTTTCAATTCCCCGACGTACGTATGTCGGAAAGATAGATTTTACCTGACAGCATGACGCAATCAGCGCCGTCGAGAATGGCATTGGCGACGTCCGAGGTTTCGGCTCTGGTGGCGCGTGGTTTCTTCACCATAGATTCCAACATCTGCGTGGCGCAGATCACGGGCTTGCCAACTTTGTTGCACCTGCTGATCATGGACTTTTGCGCCAAGAACACCTTCTCCGGCGGTATTTCGATTCCCAGGTCACCTCGCGCTACCATGATGCCATCGGACACCTCGATGATCTCGTCGAGATTCGTCATGCCTTGCTGATTCTCTATCTTCGATATGATCTTGATGTTCTTGCCCTTCTCACCCAAGATTGCACGGATCTCCGTTAAGGCCGCGCCGTTTCGGATGAAGGAAGCGAATATCATGTCGACCTCTTGCTCGACGCCGAACAGAAGGTCAGACTTATCTTTCTCGGATACGGCCGGTAGATCCACCGGCACCCCCGGCAGGTTCACACCCTTGCGGGAGCCCAACATACCGCCGTTCTCAATGTTCGTCGAGATCAAGTTGGGACCTGGGGAGCAAATTCATATATCAATAATTACTCCGCTTTCAATGCCTTCGATTACTTTAAGCCAGGAAATGCTCAGTTTTCGACACGAAAGAGTAAATACAATCGCAAAGCAACGTTGGACGGAACTTACCGACAGAAGTGACGATGAGAGAGATCAAACCGTCATCGACGAACACGCGGTTCCCCGCCTTCAATACCTTCGTAATGTTATCGTAGTCAACGTAGACGATCTGGGCGTTTCCTTTCTCCATGTACGCCTTGTCGGTGGACAGTTTAAAGGCCTGACCTTTGACCAACTCCACCTCGGCCGAGCCACCCTGCAAAAACAATTAAAGTTATCACGACCCTCGTTTCTCGGTAGAGTATATCGGATGTGATGACTACACTGAGAAAAAAATAGTTGGTCTTGTAATTCTATAATCATCATAATAAAAGAATTATGGTTAGGACGACCATTTTTCTAGCAAATGTTAATATACAGAGGAGAAGGTTTCTTTGCATTTAGTATGCGTGTTTGTTTAAAATGTGTTCAATATAAACGACTAATTTAATATCAAACATCATTTTGTTTGAATGAAAATGTTGTTGTTTCATTCGAGTAAACCATATTATTTGATAGAAAAAGCAGTATTATTTGGAAGAAATAAAAAAAAATCAAAAGAAAAAAGATTTACTTCATTATATATTAAACATTGTTTCATTGAAACAAAGAAGTTCTTTAATATTTATCTATAAATATATAGAAGAAATAAGTCGTTTTGTATAAAGCTGTTTTGCATAGAGATATTTATTCTCTGAAGAACTATCAAACAATCCTGTGTGTTTGTTGAATTAAACATTCCTTCGTTTGCTCTGTTTCAAAAGATAAATTTGTCTCAATGAAAAAAAATTCGATTAGATCCAAAGAAATCTTGTTCTCTGCGTACAGCGTCAGTGATAATAATAACCTTACATGCATGTTGCTATTTTCGATTGAAACTATAAGAAAGGTAAAAATTGAGGCCGAAAATGACGATAATTTCTCTCAGTGTACTTACGCCTTCCAGAAGGCCGGTGCGAATTTCGGGGCCCTTTGTATCCAAAGCGATGGCGACGGGAATGTTGATACCAGCGCGGGCGGTCAGATTCTTCTGCGCTTGGCGCACATTGGCGATCGTCTCCGCGTGATACTCGTGGGTGCCGTGCGAGAAGTTCAGGCGGGCAATGTTCATCCCAGTCTCGATCATCTTCTCCAGGGTCTCCACGGACCTGGAGGCGGGCCCGATCGTGCAGATAATGCCGGACAAGCGGACGAAGGACGCACGGCTGCCGATATCCAGGGCGCACATGTGGTCCAGCTGACTTTGGGCATACAATGCCTGGGTGTTTGGCTGGCCGGCCATCTGCGGAAGTTACGACGAGATTAGGAGAAACTTTCTTCGAGGTAAGCGACGACTTGCGATTGATACATCGTGTACAACAGCACGCGTACGAACATATATATATATATATGTAAAATTAACATCGAGAAAATAAAGAAATTGTCCAGGCTCTTAGATGTAGAATCAGCTGAAGACGAAAGAAGACAATAAGGGCCGACGTAAGATGCAAATTGCGAAGTTAACTCAATCTGTAAGTGAAATAAGAAATGGGGAATCAAAGAGACCCTTCAAAGAATTATCCAAATTTTTCGGTCGTCATTCCGACCTCGTCCTCCACGGTGGAAAAATAGAGGGATAGAAAATTTTATGCTGCCCTAGCAAATAAATATATAGCGTGTTTCTTAAATACCGTCCAGTATTTTAGGAGTTGATTTTTAAGTTTATTTTATAAAAAAATTTCATGTAGATATATGCTCGTTTCTCCCTAAAATGACTTCGAAAAGTTTGCCGTCTCTCTGAATTACTTTTTCCCGTGTGTATTTGGCTACAGACTTTATCTATTTTCAGTCTCGTATCGATTTTGAAATATGGTAGGTCCTCAGATTTCAAGTATTCTACGTAGGTATCCAAATAATTCCGAGACAACGTTTTTGACTACAGCTCTTTGACTAGGATCGGAATGACGATTGATTACGTTTGGGTAATTCCTTGAAGGGTTCCTTTGATACCCTATTTCATTTATCGATTGAGTCAGTTTACATATTGCATCGACTCTAATTGATTTTTCTCGTCTCCGATAATTAACATCGAATTTGCGCACGACGCGCGTTGCACACGGAGAAGAGAGATCGGTTCAATTAACGTGACGGTGAACGAACCAAAATGCGTCCGGTCCGTTCATTGTCGCGTTAATTCGACCGGATCTCCTTTCTCCGTGCTATTAACTCATATGACGCGCGTCGCGAGTCGAGGCTGGTAAATTAAATGAAATTACATTGCTCAATAATGTATAAAATCGCTAATGTATAAAAATAATGCGTGAAACTGCATGTAAATAATTAGTCAATCAAGCGAAGAGGTAACGCAAACAACATCAATCAACAACAAACCACGACACCGATCGCAAATTCAGCATGCATGACGAGCGCCAACGTCGTTCTCGGCCGGCGAAGTACAACGCGGTGGACGCGCGTAAATCGGGATGACGATCGGTCGCTAATTGTTTAAAACGCTTTCGGCAAAACCACGTCTACAATCCCTGACCTCGGGCAAATTATCGCGTGTAGGGTGCACGATGTACGTTGAAAATAGCGACGGCATAGGCGCGCTTCTAATTCCGAAACGCTGCTAAAACGACCGGCGACGTGAGCGTAGAGCCGCTGCGGCGAAAATAGATGCGCTTTGTGGATGTAGAATAATTAATATAGATAATAAGTCGTGAGACGGCAGATCGCGAAATAACGCCTACGTTGCGTGCGCATTACGTCAGTAAATTAGTTGCGCATTAAGTCAGTACATTAGTATCTGTTCCTCAACTTGGAATCTCAACGTCGCATGTAACTGGAATTCCGGGTAAAAGAAGCTCACAAGCTGCAAAGGTCCTCTCTCGTTCTACAGTGAACTGAGTTTCCCGGTAATATATAATTTGCCATGAGACAATCGATCTTATTCAGCCTTCATTAGTTCCCTCCTTTCTCGCCGGGATTCAACTAGACGGTATTCGAGAGATAACTGCGCCAGGCGCTAAAAATACGATGCACACGGAAAAAAATACTCGGTTCGCGTAGCTGATTTTCTGTTGTCTGGGGCGACCAGACGAAAAAAAAAACTCGATTGTAGAAAGAGAAAAAGATCCCCGTAGGAGGTTTATATTTAGTCAATTGTTCTCGGTTATTTCAATCGAATTTTAAAGCAGCCGAAAATGCTCAGACGAATGCTTCCATACGCGTCGCGTTCTGTGTCGCTCATTTTCCTCTGGTTTTAAATTACACGAAACGAGACTTTCCCCAGACACGAGTCAACGTTATTGCCGTGATAACGGATATTTTCCATCTGTCTGAAGTGCCAGACGATTTCGAACACGTCATATGTCTCCTGCGCCGGCAATCAAGATTAATTTAATCTCCGTATATCTAACAATACGGAAAATAAACTTTCGCCCGACATTGCGATTTCGCAAATAAGAGAGATAAATGGTTTCGGTTTGTTGTAAGAGTGATGTCACGAGAACCGATCATTGTGTCACCGTGACATTAAGGCCGCCATATTGCAGGTGTCTTTAATATATGAGGGAAAAAAACCGCGATACCGTGTCCACGTTTTGTTTATGGCCGAATTTATTCCGCAAAAATATCGGGATACCGACGGATGGGAGATTAAGGGATGAGAATGCTAAAATTTTATCACGACGTATGTACATTCGTTTATCTTCGCGTCGTCTGTGAAACGGCTTCGGCGGCAGATGACACGATGTTGCCGCGTGCATTCGCCGGGATCGCTTTAGGAATAGCCGCTGCTGACATCGTGCAGATGCACGTTCGCATGTGATGAGGTCTCGCACTGTAAACGACATTAATTGCGAGTAGCGGCGCGAAATAACGAGGTACGAATTATTAACGCCGTTATGAGCACCGCGAGCATCACATCGGCGCAACCTGCGTGTATCTTAGAACGCGTCATGGAAAATATCATCTTATTAAAAATTTTCATCAGATTGTAACGAGAATCACGCTCATATCGCCGTGTCAGTCACCGTATCGGCGTTATGTTACCATTGTCCGCATTGTCGCTCATTTTTTCAATTAACATCACAACGAGGAACGCAAACGGTTGCGTTAGTAACTACGGATCTGTTACGACGCGGGACACAACGTAACAAAGTGTATAAATATGCGTAACGTCATACTTCTACGTACGTGCTTCTACGTGCCGCAAGATGTAACGTCACCGGAACAACGAGAAAAAAAAGCACTCTTCACGCCGAAATGAAAGTAATTGTAGAAAATGAAAAGGGAAGCGGAAATAAAAAGGGAGAAGACGAAGAGAAGTTTTTTCGGAGAAAAAATATCGGATATTTGTCAACCCTTGTCGGCGGCGATAGAAAGTGACGAACCTCGATTGTCGACTGGTCTCGCCTTCTAAAGTATTTAGAAGGATGCTCTAAGAACTTCTTCCTGTTTTAATAGGCGACTTCACAGTCGAGAGACCGCGTTTGCAGCGTCAGAGAGGAAAAAGAACGGTTCGATTCGTGTGCAGCGAAAAACTCAAGGTTATGAATGCACAGAGCAGCGCACAAAAGTCAGCGCTCGCGGTGAAGTTGTCGCGAAATCGATGCTCGCCGATCAATTTTTTTCCCCGCACAACCGCGCAAAAGTGCTACCGTTTATTCGTGAAAATTATTTTCTACCTCCACCGTCAAAGATCCAAACTACGCCGGTGACAGGTGCACACATAGATCGTCTGCATCGCACATATATTTCTTATTTTTTTTTTTTTACACTTCTCCGTTCTGTCTGTTTTGTTTTGAATGTGTGTCCTTCGAAAGTACCAAGCGAGCAGATCTATGATGCTCCGAGTGTCATTGATGTCTCGTAGAAACTTACAGCTTCGGTTTAGGTATTCTCGTGTCGGTGGTATCCAGACGATTTGCTTCGAACTTGCGGTCTGATAGTTTAACAGAGGCAAGTATTCGGAATCAGGCAGAAAATGCGAGATAACTGAGACATGCGATATAAACATAAAATTAAATTAACATTGATTAATCAATTCGGACTCATCGATCGACAATTGCGATGCAGATCCATCTGGACGCGACGTGTTCGACCCGAAAATGCCGTAAACCGGAACCGGAAGGCGCTGTTAACATCCTCCGTAGACTCAGTCAAGCACATCACACTGTGTATGCGCAAAGAAAAAGAACCAAGCACTCGGAGAAGAATAAAAGAAAGGAAAGCCGAATGCCGGAGCCATTGTGATCCCGGCGAGTGAGATTCTCCGGTCCGCCGCGACCGCAAAATGTGCCCTGATCGTCGCGTTTGCCCACAATCACAAATAGACGCGTCAACGACACGCGTCTGACATTTCCGCAGGACCTCGCCGAGATCGTAATTGGCTCCGGTTCGAAATCATTGCTGGGTGTGTACACGCGGGAAACTCGAAGAAAATTGAATGCGCGTCCGGGCGATACCTTGTCGTCGGCGGTGATCCAAACCATTTTGGCGGGCTGCGTAAAGAAATGGGAGACCGGTATTAGTAACGGTGAGCTGACGACGATCCGTCCGGCTGCAGTCGTCGTGCGCGAATGCGGCGAATACCTGACGCCGCGCCTCGACGGCAGCCGGAAGTGCCGCAGCACCGGACGGAAACAGAGTGGGAAGCCGAAGACGCCGGTGCAACGCATCGGACGAAAGCGATAGCAGTGCATACGACGGATTCGCGACGGCGATTCTACGACGACGCTATCCGGATTCCAAAAATAGGATCATCGCCGTAGGAGAATCGTGCCGGATTTTCGCTCGCGTTTTCCGCACACGCAGGAGCCGATAACTTCACGAGGTTACTTCGCGCCGACGTTCAGGATGGTCGGTAAGAACAAATGTGAGTTATTATATTACGTTTTGTAATGGCGTTTCGCGAAGATTTTCGCGGAATTTCGTCAATTTATGTTGCACAGTAGATCCCCCGTGGGGAATACGTTATATTAATCCATGTTTTTATTTTACTTTAAATACTAACGTAATTATGTATACAAGGGAACAACCTTTCGGAAGAGGTGTTGGAAAAATAGGTGAAATGAAAATGGCCGAAAAGGTTATATGACTCCAGAATAACGTTTTCGAAATGTGCCTTTTGAGGAAAGTTTATTTGAGAGAGGATGCCCTTTGTCTCAGAGTTTCGATAAATATGCGCTCAGAATATTGTCATATTTATCGCGTCATTTAAAATAGTTGGTCCGTAGAGCGCCGGATTTTTAAAGGAAACATTAAGGGGTCCCTACATAAGTTTATTATTTACTGAGAAAAATACTTCCCTACAACTTAACTATCTAAATAATAAATGTTCATTTTGAGCCGAATTAAGACAAATATACACGCAATGTTACAAAATAGGAGATACATTATTTATTTTTTATTTTTCTTATAAATGCTATATTTATATATCAGTTGAATGAAGATACACATATACTAGAAAATGGTAAATAAATATTTGTGCATATGATCGCACATAGATTGCAGGTATATTACTATAAATTTTCTATGGTTATATTTTTAAAATAAAATAGTCAATAATTCTGAAATTTTTGTATGTCTCTGCATTAGTCTTTAATAACACAATAGTTTTTTTTTTCATTAAAATCCCAAATGTAGTTTAGAAGAAATTAAAAATAGAAGTGAGAAATAAGACATTAATTTTAAGGAACACGTATAAAAAGTGTCATCTTTAGTTGCAAATATCTCAGTTTGCGAATAGTCAATCGTTTTCTAACTTTACAAACGTGTAGATAGTATTTTCATCAATATGTAGTTGAAATTCAAAAAGATTTTTAAGGAAATAATTTGACGGGCCAACTACTTTAAGGCATATTTAGTGGCGTATTTATCGAAAAAGAAAGGTCAGAATACGAGCGTAAAAATTTGAAATTTATCAATATACGCCTTATTTTAGGTCTATCGCAATTTTTTCGTCGCATTATACGAGATTCTACTGTATATTATAATAAAAACATGTCGATATGTGCGGGAAACAACAATTGCATACATTTTAAAGCGAAAAAGACCACTCGCTTGCACTGATACTCGCTATCGTTCGAGGTGTCCGATTATGATCGCATCAAATTCTCCATAGGAAATTATACTTGAAAAGAGGCTTCCGTTTACACGAGTGTTTATATTATACATGCGCGGGCGTATGATTACTAAGCGGAATCGATAGCCGTTACATCATGTGTTGATATTTTTTCGGTAAACAATTGTAATCATAATATAAAGTTACTAGATATTTCGAAGAATCTCATTTAGAAGAAGAAATTATCTTTTTAAAAGGGGAGATATCAGGTAATGTATATTAAATATTAACGTTAAATAATTGAATCAATTGTAATCGATTCTAACAGCGCGATTAAACGCACTGAACGTTCAAGGCAGAATATGAAATTTGCAGTTTGCGAACGAAGGAATCGAATTCTGCAGAGAGAAAGATCCGAGTTAGCGTATTGTAAAAGACGATAGGTAAAATGTACCGATTTTGGCCCCCGGAGTGGCAAGTACAAAAATATTTCGCCGAATAATCGACACGTTTAGTCCCTTATGTAATACGCGTAATCAAAATATTGACAAGATAATCCGCACGTTTTGCTTTCGTGATCAGTTTACATTTTCCCGCTCACGCGGCAGTCAAGCTTCGGATTCTCTCGGAGCATGCGTGAGCACGTGCTCAGTAAGGAATCAGCTGACACCAACAGACGCGCTGTTTCCTTCAACGCGTGACCTTCAACCTTCAACACGACTTCATTCATAATAATACAAGTCTGCACGATTTACCTTTACATTCTCATTATCCCCTGATTCTCAAACTGAAGTTACACTGTGAATAATATTTAATATTCGTATAAAACGAATAGTTTTAAGAACAAATGCTACTTACACGGTCGGAATACGGTTCGATGGATAGGTCATTGCACTTACAATTAAATCATGAGTAGCGGCAATAACAAAACTTTTTGTTTGAAAATATGCAAAGTAATTTCTTAGAGTGGAATAACTTATCTAACATGGAAAAAGATCTTTCCTTGAATCGTTAGAAATTATTTTGAGACTGCGCTTACACTGAAGTCAAGACGAACTTATCTGTCTATATATATATATAATGTGTCTATTTGTATCTACTTGTTGGCTTTAATATCCTCGTATTTTCGTTATAGAATAGATAATAAAATTTGAACACGTTCAAAACAATGATTATCTATTATCGACTTCGATGTATATGCAGCGAGTAAAATATATTTAAAAGTTATTAATCTATTTTCTTAACTGAAAGTAGATTCCCGTTAACAATAAAAATTCGGAGAGATTTGAAAAAGAAAGATCGAAGAGAGAGAAATCGAAGGTGATACGTTGCCAGAAATAAACTCACGGTTATCGAACGTATTTTTTCCCCATTTTATTCTCTCTTCAACCGTATCCTTCCCCCTCCTCTAGGTCGAATTATGCACGCCACATTCACATTGCGCGATGAGATAATAGCGCTCGTGCGTATTGCAATATACGAATAATCTCTGAGACGACCGCGTTTATGCACCACGTGCTCGATGCGTGAGTACTTACTACGAATGTACATCTATACGGTTATCTCTAATCCCGATAATCCATCCTAATAAAGTACACATTGGCTTTCGTTATCTAAACCCTTTGTTCAAATTTGCCTGACTATTATATTATATTATACAGCTAAGTTATATTTGCACATCTGTTAAATTTATAATCGATGCTCTCTCGGTTCTTCTATATGGACAGAAAATTACACCGAAAGAAAAAAGAATTAAAAATTTTATTATATTATATTCACAAGCTCTATTCATACATCATCACTATATCATTTATTATTTATTTATCGTGCATTATTATCATTATATCATTGTCTGATTTGATTATAACCTAATCTCGCTATTTACTCGCGAAGTTTAAACGAAACTGAAAATTAACTCGCAAAAGAACGTGTCGTGAAATTATCTGTTAATGCGTTACATTTGCGCATTAAAATGTAATCGACGTTAACTGGCCTAGAAAAGTCAAGATTATTTACATAAAAACCTATCGGGACGCTGCTTCGCTTGCCGTAACGGTCGGCAGCGCACAAAGCTGGTCCCTTCAAGTAGAAGCACGCTTTATAAATGTCGTCCATGAACCCACGAAAATTTGGGAACCTTGAATGTTCGCGACTCGCTTGATATTAGGAATTCCCCGAGAAAAATCTTCTCCCGCTGGTCGAGAATCGACCTTCTCGCAGCGTCATGGAAGAAACGCCGGAGAAAATCGATTGGGTGAGCCTCGCAGAGGGACTAATATGATATAACGGTTACCTTCGTCTCAGTCGTCCTATAGAAGCGTGAAAGTAAGAATGGAAACCAACGATTCAGCGAGAAGTCGACTGTTGGCAAATGGCTGGCTACGAAGCGAACTCTTCAACGGCTCTGGTTAGACTGACGTTTTGAGGACGCAGAAGGTCACCACTCCCATTCTGATCATGCGTGCTGGTTGGCAGGTTCATAGCCGGCTCTTGGCTGATTTTCACAACGGCGACGGCATCCGCACCTGTCGGCCCGATCAATAAATTTAGTGGGGTGAGCGATTTTCCCCATGAGGCTCGGCAAGTTGGCGGAACGATTGAAAACCAGCGAGATACAACGACGCGAACAGCTGTAAATTCGGCAAAAAAGGACATAGCAATTTTCATTAAAACAGCCGCATTATTATGAAAGTAATTCATGATGTCACAATCTTATCTCACGTTTAAACACGTCGAATTTAATCGCATTTTAGTAGGAAACGCTGATAGTTCGTTTGAAGCCGCAAGTATCTTGTTTTAAGTTACAGCGGAAATGTGTTGAAACAAACTGTCACGCATTATTATTTTTAGTTTATTTAAGAGTTAAAAATGCAGCTTATAAACATGCGGTCGAATCAGTTAAAAGACTTGTGTATCTAGACGAAGAACGAGAGCAAGTGGACAGTAGACGCCTAAAAAGTCGAGAATTTTGCATAATTCGCCAGCACAGAACGAAAACGAAAATTTACATTATTAATAAATATAAATTCACGCATATTAATCAGGGATCTGATTACAGTTACATCTCCGTTATTCAAAGCGTGCACTTAATAGTGGCGTGATTCATTTTTATGCGGCCTTCGCGTAGCCTTCTTATCTGCCCGTGACCTACGTAACACGTCAATTAATCATCTGATAAACTTTCTATCACGTGATCAGCGGTACATTATCATCAAGAATGATATAATTGCAATGATGCAGAGAGAGAAAGAGAGAGATAGAGAGAGAGAGGCAGGTGAGATCATTGTCGCCCGGTGAAGTTTTTGAAACAAATTCGCAATTGCAATTTTAATAATAATTTAATAATAATTTGCAACTTTAATAATAAATAATAATAATAATAATTTCATATCCGGAAACAATTTTCGGAGAAATATATTTTTGAAATTATTTTCCACGCAGAATTAACATGTTAGCGACAAGTTCTTTGAAAGTATATTTGAGGAAAAATTTTATTTTATCATCAATCGAAGAGGAAGAGACGACGTTTCCGCTTAATGTTACATAGATGAGATATTTGTTTGAGCACTTTATGACCTCGTGATTAGGTTACGAGGAGGCAGTTCCGATTCAAACCAGCTAAAAAAGAGTGTTATCCAACGAGCGCGTTTATCAAATCTGCACATGTTACGTGGTCTGTACAACGCTGCCCACTGGTGGTAGATCATTGAATATTGGTGGTACAAGCGGTCTTATAGATCGTGATTCGTACATAACAAAATAAAATCGGACGTTTAATACGACCAATTGAGGCACGTCTACATTCTAACAGGTTGTTTGTCAGGCCGCGACAAAAATAAATGTAAAAGTCCAAGACACAATTTATCCTACGTACAATGTATCCTCGATCTTCTCGATGTAATTTTCCTTGATTAGCTGACTATATTGTAATTATAATATAAATTATGTTTATAAATATACAAAGTTCTTCATGAAATATATTAACCCCTTGCCGTGTCGATGAGCTCGATAAAATCTGAACCCAACCACGAGTCTCACTCGTGATATTCATGTTTGGCCCGGAATTGTTACCACGAGTCTCACTCGTGACATTCATGTTTGACCCGACATTGTTACCACGAGTCTCACTCATGACATTCATGTTTGGCCCGAAATTGTTATCACGAATCTGACTCGTTAAAGTACGGCAAGGAGTTAACAATGGTCAAATCTTTTATAGAAATGTTCTTCATTCGCCAATATTAAAAAAAAAAAAAACACTAATTATACGAGCAGCATTATAATAACCGAATTTTTATTTGACGTTTAATATTTAATTACCAAAATATTTGATGCCAAAAGTGTGCAGATTGTTGAAACAATCGTTTCTTGAATTACTGTTTGTGAGAAAGTTATTTCGAACTTTATAAGGTATTATTTTAGACTCGATCATGTTTTTTTGTCCATAGATTTTAGTATTTAGATATTTAATTCATAGATTAAATAATTTGTTCAAGACGCCGATTCAGCCGTTCATAAATGAAACGTTAGTAACGGAATTTCAAATGCACTAAAGAGATAAGATAATTATGTAAACTAATTTTTTATCTAATCATGCGACGGTGATGCTTAATGTCAGGCGTTGTTATTTTATTTTGTTGTAAAACTGATGAATCCAGAGTAGCATGAGGAAAAACACATAAAAATAAGTTAACACATAAAAATAATTAATATCTTATTTATTAAATAACTATTTAGAATTTCAAAAACAACTTTTTACTACATACATTTTACACCGTTATCGATCGTTATCGATCATTTTATATCGTTATCACGATATTTTATCACATTCCTGCATTGTGTAAAAGAATCTTAGCCCAGACAATTGTCAAACCTGTATATCAGTATTACACTACTTTTTTAAAATAAATATCTTTCTTCAGGAATAAACCTGTGCACGCATTCTGGAGCGCCATATACGCATGTACTTTGGCCACGAGACCTTGACAAGAGCACTTTTGAATCGCACTGTATTCCATTCGCCTAGTAAAAATAAAGCAAACAGACCACTCATCGTAGACGTTTCGCGTCGATCGCATCTCGATCGTCGTAAATATTCTTTATCTCGAGGATACAACGGTGTACAGACATCAAAGTTAAAGTTGAAAACACAAAATTATCCCGCGATAAGACCCCCCACGAGCAGCTGAATGAGCAAGTTGAGATAACCCATCGCTGCCACTTGTCTTCTGTCCGGTTCAGTCTGCTTTGCTTCGCCTCCTATACTGGTTAGGATTTCGACCACGAGCACCATGACCGATCAAAGTAAGACGAGCAAAGTGATCAATTTCGGCGCCGGTCCGGCTAAACTGCCGCACGAGGTGTGTTGATATAACTCTCTTTACAATTACTGGAAATTACTTTACCAATTTTCCTTTTAAAATTTATATCAGTCGGAGAAAATATAAATCTACTCTTTAAGAGATTACTATTCATGAAGGATGCATTATATTAATCTGGGAAATAATTTTACTGGCACTTCGTAAAGAGATATTTGAAATTAATTAAGAGGAAAGGAAATATTTATTCTCTATATAGATGTGTGTGATAATTTATATGAAATAAAAAGCGCATGATACTTTATTGCATGTCGCTTTCAGAGATAAAATGAGAAGTTAATGAGAGAACTAATTTCGTAATATTAGATGCATTAAAAAAATAACGTTAAACGTGTGTTTTTATTTTACGACGAATTCAGGTAGAATTATTTGCAAAGTAAAGCATACTAGCGAACGTTGGCTGCTTTTACGTAAGAACATACGGCTGCGGATACATTCCAGCTATAATTCCGCTTAATTGACGTCCATAAGATCGCATTACTGTTCTACCGATACGATTCTACAGATACGAAACGGTTGAACTGCCGTTTCGCGAATATCGTTTCTTTATCGTGTCTCTTTAACATTTTACATAGAATTATCTAAATTTCGGTGATAATTTATACTTATTACTATATTATACTAATTTATACTTAGTTTATAGTTTTAAAGTTGAGTTTCAAATTCATATATTGCCGATTAGATTTGTGTTTAATGTGTTTTCTTATTTGTTAAAAAATCATTCTCTTCACATGAATAAATGTTACACTGTTCGTGTTATCTACTTTTACGTGCGCCAGGCAATAAACATTTCCACAATACGTGATAATTCGCGTGCGTCATTATGCACTGCGCATAATGACAATGGATTTTTGGGAAAAGCTCGTGCGAGGAATTATTCGCGAATATATATCGCGTAAAATTATCTCATTACTGTATTATTGCTCAATTTATGGTACGACTTAATTCGCATCACAAAATATTGATAATTGTCGCGATTTACGCAAGAGCGACTCGTGATCTCCAAAGTGACAGAAATAAATTACCTTGCACCTCGTAGATTCTCGTACCCCATTGTTACAAATAAATAAATGGTTCGGCTTCGCGGCTCAGATGAAATGGAAAATGCTGGAACAAGTGTCTGATACTGCACTTCTTCTGTTACCGAAGAAAGATCGCATCATATTTTAGAATCAGTATCGATCGACCAGGACAAAGAGATAAGAACGAAAACGGGGGTCAATCGCGTTCATTGAACTAACGCGATGTGTTGGTTAACCGAGATCGTTGTGTCATTGGTAGGTTCTGAAAGTCGTCCAGAAGGAACTGCTCTCCTACGGAAACATTGGAATCAGCATCCTTGAATTAAGCCATCGGTCGAATGACTTCCTAAAAGTTATCAACGATGCGCAGGCCACGCTGCGAGACATCCTGTGAGTGAAGACGGACAAGTCGATTATTTTTCAAGTTGCTTCGACGCTCCGGTGCGACATTTCAATTTTGGAAGACGTTCGACGTTGAACTTGCATCATTTTTTAAATAAATGACTAAAATTACGGCATATATATTCCAGGAATGGAATTAAAATAAAAGTAATATGACAGTAAGAGATATAAATGTGTGTGATATGAATATGAATATGATTTTGGTTTTGGTTTTCATTTCAACGTTAATATTCGTTATTATCGTTATTATTTGTCATTATTTGTCATTTTTATTTGTTATTATTCGACGTTATTAAATGCTTTAAGTAATCAGATATTCAGATCACTCAGATCGAGTAATGAGATGAAAACTTGACTGACGAAAGATTTGTTCTTTCAAGGAACGTGCCCGACAACTATAAAATCCTATTTATGCAAGGAGGCGGCACCGGAATTTTCGCGGCAGTTCCTCTGAACATTATGAACACCGGCACCGCGGATTATTTAGTGACCGGTGAGAAATACATCCTGAGAACTCAAACGAAGTGAGTTTTAAATTTTTGCCGAAGCAGAATAACAAATAGGAAGGTTTGTTTAGGATCATGGTCGGCGAGGGCGGCGCAGGAAGCTACCAAGTATGGGAAGGTGAACATGGTGTTGCCCAAAACGACGAAGTACACAGGAATCCCGAAGCCGTCCACTTGGAACTTGGATCCAAATGCCTCATACGTGTATTATTGTGCCAACGAAACTGTCCATGGTAATTAAAGCCTTTGGAATTTCACCTTCGTTACTGCTGCTTCAACGCTCCAGATTAATACATATCGAAATCTAATAAACACTTCTAGGTATCGAATTTGATTACATTCCCGAGACGAACGGAATACCGTTAGTCGCTGATATGTCATCTAATATACTCTCGATGCCCTTAGACATATCTAAGGTAAGGTGGTAAAAAATTCGGTTGATTGAAATTGTATCGAGACGAATTGTGATCGGTGGATTCGGTGCAGCACAGCGCTCGTAGTCTCTTATCATTTTATCGGTTTCTAACGATATGGCGAAATTCATCATCAATTGCGATAACTTGTTTACGTCATTAATTAATATCAGATTTCTACATTTTTACATGTATGTTTACAACTTCTGCACAGATTACTGATTTTGATTTCATTTTACAATCGAATCGAGAGAACAACATCGTTTCTTTCTCTCTAATGTAATTTCTTCGTAAAGTTCGCTGCGAATAGGCAAGCAAACATTTCGTGTTACACGTGTTTTCTTTCAGTTCACTGTGATTTTCGCCGGCGCCCAGAAGAATTTCGGTCCGGCTGGTGTTACTTTAGTGATAGTACGAGACGATATGCTCGGTCGTGCCATGAAAGTGTGCCCGACAATATTGAATTTTACTATCATGGCAAAGGAAAATTCTCTACACAACACCCCGCCAGTCTTTCAGTAAGTATCACCAATTACGTCGTAATTTGACAATTGAAGAACATACTCATGTAACCCCGATAAATTAACAAAAATAAAAGGCATCAGAAAATGGGCGAAAATAAAAACTTCGCGTAACATTGAACTTCTAAATATTTTTCTTATTTATAATAAAATGAAAAAAATGTTTTAGAAATCAAATTAACATTTTGATTATATCATAGAGCCGACGCATAGAGCGAAATTATTCTTAGGAAACTGTTTTTTGTCAGCAAGAGAGAAAAGTAATTTTCTGAATAGATTTTTTTTTTGCTACTTCTTCGATTTGTAACGAAAACATCTACTGTTATTATATATATTAACGTCATCATGTCGATGGCTATTTCAGAATATATGTAGTGGGTATGGTATTTGAGTGGATTAAACGGAACGGTGGAGTCGAAGGTATGCAAATCTCCTCGAAGAAGAAAAGCGGCATAATATACGATGTGATCGATAAATCTGGAGGTTTCTACAAATGTCCCATTAGTTTGGACGCGCGTAGTAGGATGAACATTCCGTTTGTAATAAAAGACGACGAGGAGCTGGAAAAGGAATTTCTTTCCGGTGCCGCAGCTTGCGGTATGATACAATTAAAGGGTCACAGGTTAGTATTGAAAAACTACGTGTGCTTTCACTAGTTTTAGTTGACTAAAACAATTGTAAAAGATAAGAAGAAATTGTGGACGATTTATATTTTTGTATTTTCAAATTTAAAAGTATATATATGAAAACAGAAAAAAGTACATGCTGTAATGGAATCAAGTCGTTTGCTAATTTACACATATTTATATAGTACATATTTATTTATTAGTTTTTTAGTATAAATTTATCTATCATTCTATTTGTCATTACAAGACGTCCTTCTTCGAATTCTGAAATTTTATAATATTAACCCCTTTGTCTACAATATCGTGTGAGACAAGGAAATTGAGCCAAACATAAAAATCACGGATGAGGGCTGTGGTACGTCGATCGAACCAAACGTAAATAACACCTGTTAGGCTCGTAGTTTGTAGATCGGATCAAATGTAAACAACACGAGTCAAGCTCGTGGTTAATTGTCGCCAATGTTTTTCTGTCTCGGCTACTTGTTATTCTTGGCCACGTTCAAATATATTTTCTTAAAAATATTATATTAAAAATATCATAAGACGTGTGCGATTGGCACAACCTCGAGCGCTTGATCGAACCGTTAAATGGCTCGATCGTGATCGACTTCGCTGTTGATTGTGATACGCGCCATCGAAACTTAAATCGTAGGTCAAGGGGTTAAAGAAATAACTTTATAATAATAAAATGTTATTTTCACGACTGCAATTTCTTTTTTTTTACAGATCTGTGGGTGGAATACGCGTATCTTTGTATAATGCAATCACGGAGGATGAAACGGAAACATTAGCAAATTACATGAAATCGTTTTACGATAAGCATTGCAAAGGAAATGGAAAATAAGTTTATATATTTTGAACAATAGATATATATCGTACTTCCTTGAATATATTTTTTAATACATTCTATTAAAATTACTATTAAAATTTAAGAAATCTTGCTTTGTCTAATTGTTAGGGAACTATTATTTATAATCTATTTTTTAAATTGTTATTTATGAGAGTTCTATAAATAATATATAATTTTTGAACTTGAAAATAAAGGTACATTTCGACTAAATGACTCGTTATGTTTAGACCCGCAATTTCATATTAGTTCCGAAATCTCCGTTACGAGTCGCTATCGTCTTGAATCAAAATCGTAAATTCAACGCGAAAAATCTTACGGAACGTTATTTTAAAATAGTTCATTTAACGTAGAATCAAACATATCTTTATTTTAGAATAAAGTTTCAAGTTAAGTTTCAAGACTTATATCTTCAAGTAACGTCAATGGTAAGTCAAATTCTTTCAGTTTTAAGTAGTACGATTCAACGATGGATCAGACTTTTATATTTCGATAGCACGAATGCGAATAACAAATAAGGTAGACTCGTATTCTTTTACCATAATGATATTTTCAAATATAAAATTGAATTAAATAAAGGCTATTGACATAAGAATTGATCAAATTAATTTAAAAGAAACAACAAAATAAAATTAATCTTGAAATAGAAATGTAATAGAACATCGATTCATTGGTCGAGTATCGCTCATCCCATAGTCGTAAACAAACATAACCTACAGGCTGAGTGGTGGTACGTTTCGCGTCGTGTATTTTCAATCGTGCAAAAATGTCTTTGAAGAGGAAATTGACGCAGGATGATCTGCGTAAAGCGATGAACGAGCATAAGAAAAAACTCGGTACAGTTAAAAAAATCGAGTCGCCTTTAGCAAAATATCCTTTTTGCAGCTGTATAATGTAATTTGAGGTTAACTTATATTTTCAAATCGTAGCAACTTTTAAACTATCATTTTATTATTATATTATATAATGTATCTACTTTATAATTATAATTTTGCACGATTTGTCGACCACAAATGTCGACTTTATCGGCAAATGTCTTCTTAGTGTTAGGTCAATATCATTCTCAGAACATCCTTCATATTGAAGACATCCTTAACTCCTGTAAACACGTACACAGATTCTGGTCAGCTTATGTGCATTTTATGCAAGTCAACTGTACGCAATGAGACAGTATGGCCTGTTCACCTAAATTCCAAAATACATAAGGAAAATATTGCATTAGCAAAAAAGACTAAACTAGAGACGGAGAATCCTGTAAAGACAGCTAATGTCACATCGTTCAAAAGACCTCTCTCTCCATCCCAGAATGTTTCTATAAATAAAAAAATAAAGGGAATATTGAAAAACAATAGTCAACCAGTAACACAAACTAAATCAAGTTTGCCGGCTGACTTTTTTGATAATAATACAAAGCAAGTTAATGGTGGACCTTCTTCTGCAACACAAAAGTCAGAAAGCAAAGATTCTACAACTAATATCACAGATGTACAAAGTGTCGAAGTAGAGGAAGAAAAAGAAAAGGAGAAAGAAAAAGAAAAAGTAAAGGATACGAATACATCTGCTCTTCCAGAAGGATTCTTTGACGACCCAGTATTGGATGCTAAGGTAAGATTGCCATAAAGTAGATGAAAGTATATAAATATACTACAGTTTAAAGAAGTTATTTTATTATTACCATGGGAGTACAATATATATATTTAAAATGTTGCTGTTCTACTTTTTCACGTTTAATTATTACCTTACCTTTAGGTACGTAACGTTGAATACAAAGATCCTATAGAGGAAGAATGGGAGAAATTCCAAAAAGAGATTAAGGAAGAGACTGCGCAGTCTGCGCAGATTATTGCTGACGACCAAGAGGAAGCAACAACGGAAAGACAATTGGACGAAATTGAGGAGCAAATTAGGCACTGGTCCAGGTAAATATATCTTTAACGTTTCTAGGAAGAAATATTTTTCGCATCACATAAGAATACAACATATTAATTGTAAATTAATGTCTACAATAGGGTAATGGATCTTGTAAAGCGCAAGGAACAAGTACAGGCTACCGACAGGAAGCAAGAAAACATTGATGATAACGTATCGAGCGGCGACGAGACAGAATTCGACGAGTTCCTCGACTGGCGGGCAAAGAATTCCTACAAATAAAATTCTTTATGTATCTAATCATTTTGTAAATATAACATCTTTGTTTTCTTAACACAAATATTTGTATAAAATTACAAGTTTTTAAAATTCTTTTGTACATGCTAAACTCCTCGTCCCGTAATTATAAACATATATTTTTGTTATATTATTCGTTGTCTTCGTAAAACCTTAGCAATCAATAGTCAGAAATGTGTTAAATGATGTTAAAAAGTAGAATTTAAATATTGTAATGCGAAAAAACCAATGTAATCGGTTATATGTATAAAGTTAGTGTTACATGTGTCTTACGAGTTCATCGGATGTGTCGAGTGGTTGTTAGAGAATTTCTAGAGTGTCTGGAGAAAATATTAGGGACACTAGAAATTCTCTATCTGATAGCCAATCGGCATATCCGACAATGCTCGTCATATGATGCCACCCTTAAAAGGTACAATTAAATATTATAATATAATGCGAGAGAGATATCAATATATGAGATCAGTTACGTGATATAGGATACTTTAAATATTCACATGAATCTACATTCTCAAATACGCGGGGTCGAATTGTCGCGCGATCGAAACAAGCAAACACACACAAGGACGCGGCGTAAGACACGCGCCTCACAACGCCATAGCAGTCTCTGACGTCACTGTGAACGGACGGAATTGTGTCGCGCGCTATTTCCGAATTTCCCAAATGAATCTGTACTTGTATGTGCAAGTTACATTTTACGTGCGTGATCATTGTGCCGGGATCATCGCGAGCAGTATGAGCGTCCTTCATTGCCAAGGATGACTATCGCTATTTTATTCTTTTCACATTTTTAATGAAAGAAAAGGTACGAAGTCTAGGCTTATTTCTCGTTACTTTCGTGTCGAAAATATTTCCATATTCTTGATTTATCGAAGTTGCATAACATCCCAATTGTTATCATTAATCAAGGAAATTATTTATCTGTTCCAGATCTTGTTTGCGACCACAACGCGAAAATTGTTGCAATTCCAGAGAAGAACGGACGCAAAAAATTCGCTTCACGCCAAGAAAGATCAACTCAGGTGGTGAGCTTATAAATCTTCTATATTTTTCTATTTAATTCTTTCTCATTGTGCGATCAATAGATAAAGAGTTGTCGGAGTAAAGGCAATTCATGGGTTAATCTCTCATATCGTTTATGTGCGAAGAATTTCAAACTTTGCTGTTTGAAACTAGCGGCGTCTTGCTTCTACTTGTTGATCTAACCTAACATAACCTAACCTAACCTATTACGCCCGATTTTTTTTATTTTCTAATTCACTTGTGGTTTTTAGACTTAAATTGATGATAATAAAAAAATGATGTTTTTCTATTCATGATTAATGGTTAAACCGATGGTTTCTGCAGTGGTAACTTTTCAAGTTTAATGATTAACACGTTTATTGCCAATCACGCGATATCGCGTGATGCGAGTTCTCACCGAACGGCCGATCACGCGTTATCGCGTAATAGATATTTAGAGTATATAAATCCTATGTACATAATAATAAAAGCATATAAATAATATATTAACTTATTTTGAGCACAATAAAAACTAAATAAAAAAATATAAAAAATTTGGCCACCACACGAAATTCGAATTTTCAGCTTGGCAATGAACGTGTTAACCATGAATAGGAAAACATAATTTTTACATTATCAACAAATTAGCTTAAATCACAAATTAATTAAAAAATAGAAAGGGAATCGGGCCTTAAAGGACTAAAATGCTTGCTGCGAGGGGAGTTGAAATAATTACGACTCTCACGCGTACAGTGTATTAAGATTTTATTAAAACGAATTCGAAGAGTCAGAATATAATTGAGTTTCAGATACATTTTTTGGTATAGATTACTCATTAATCGTCGTAAGCTATATAATATGAAAAGTATGATATAAAGATTACGGGGTACGCTAAGCCGCTAATAAAGTCAGTATATATAGATAATTACGACGTAGGTCATAGTTTGATGATATATAATCCACCTTCGTTTTTCCACGTACCGGACTTTATAAAATATTGAAGATTGGAGAAAGAGGGACTCGCGTATGTGTGTGTTTTTTTTTTGTTGTTTTTTTTACCCGCACCCAATCATACCTAGTGTCTTCTAAATAACCGCTATCGACGCTATCGCTGGACGTTAGCGCTCTCGGATTAGCCGGTACCATATATATTTTTTTTTTCATTTTTTTTTGCAACGACACCTACGATGCATCTCGCAAGTGAGTTTTCGGTCTCTGTCTAAAAACTGACGCTACGTAAGGTATACTTAGATACTATCGGTGTATATAATCAGCGTTGTAATCATATGTAGAGCTTACTCGTAAACTTACGCGTAAATCGTCAACCGAACGTCGCATTGTTGACGTTTAGATCGTAAAGCGAATCACGCGGCATCTAGTTCCCAACGAGTACTGCACTCGTCGTCTGCTTTATTTTCTTTCCTTTTTTTTTGTTATTTAAACGCATATATATGTATATATATTATTAAAAATTTCTATATCCTATGAGTTAGATCACAATGTGTCGTGAGTACCGTCGTCGATCTGCTACTCGAGCGACGGTAAGACAGACAGAAGTGGTTCTATCTATCTCGTGGACAATATAGTAAATACAAGCGTAAAGTACCACCAGAAGATATATGCGTATATTTATATTTATCATACGTTTAACTCTCTTTTAGCGTTTCGCAGAAGCTTAACAATAGAATATTGATACGCGTACACCGCATAGTCTCTCAGGAGCAAGCAGTTTCAGCGCTTAGATTAGACTCTTATCGCTTGTTACATGTAAGAAGAAACGACGTGTCTCGTCGGCTTAAGGATACACGATTGCGCGGTAATTCGTGTCTATCGTGTATATATATATATATATATATATATCTTGGTGGGTGACGATACATCCGTGCTGAGTCCGAGAAGAGATACGCAAAAGTCGTACAAATACTAAAATCAGAAACTCGTGGGTGAGGACGTCGTATGTACTCGATGAAGGGTCGTCTTTGTTCTTCCTTTCCTCCTTTCCCGAGACCGTCGAGAAATCGCGCCTCCCGATCGAGCTCGCGCGCTCGTCATCGAGGTGCCCGTCGTTTGCGTCGCACCGATCATCGCCGTCACGGATGACGGGCTCGTCGACGCCGACGTGTTCTTCGACCTCGCGACGCGACGACCTCCGACGCGCGTCCACGACACCTGGGGCACCCGCGGGACACCGAGCGGAGCGCGCGAAGTCGAACGGAGACGCGCGATATTCGCGGTAAATTCCTCAATGCTCCGCACGCCCTGGCGTAATAGAGTGTCGCTAATTCCTCATCTTTTCTATTCGGATTCTCGAGAATACTTCCCTTATCGTGAGCTAGGATACTTGGTCAATGAACAATTGTAGATTACTTGCGCGGCCCGAGGGTCTTTCGCTCGAAACCTTGGCGCGACAATTGACAATTCCCCTCCGTCCGGATGTTCCTCGGGGAACGGGCGATGATCCAAACACTTCCCCATATTTGGATCACGGCGTCGTTCAGCCCGCGTCGTCGTCGTCGGCCTCCCGTTAAGGTACGAGGAAAAGCTCGCCGAGCTCGTCCTAATCTACAGTCATCATTGGTCGTCGGGACGATCGCCCCAGGCGGGCTCGTCGATTGCAACGATGAGTACAATGAATCGCATTTGGCACGCGATAATGCGCAAACACTTTTTGGACGCGAACCGCAGAACGGGCTAGATTCTAATTCTCTCGGGCTTCTAATTCTCTCTACGCGGCCCGTCCAACGAATAATAATACGAACAATCATAATTCTCGGGAGAGCTGGGGGAGAGGGGGCGATTAAAATCTCGCCTGATGTCGCGCGCATAGCGTCGGGCGTACTTCGCGACGCGCGAAAACAAAGTTGGTTTCCGGCGGCGAGCGAAGGAAATTACGGCTCTGCGTACGCGTGACCGTGTCGACGTGTCACGAAGAGGTGTCTTCTAACGCTTTTAGAAAAAACGTCGTGATCTCTATTGACATCGAGCTTCTGCCGAGAAACGATCGTAGAGTGTGCGGTACGTGTGTCTTAAATTTCCTTACTTGTTAAGAGTTATATAGAGAGAGGCTTACAAAAGTGAGCGAGCGTCTTCGAGTGATTAGAGAATAGGCACTCTGCTTGTTCCGAACGTCTTACATCCTCCTCGTCTTGTGTATCTTTTTTTTTTCGGTTTTTTTTCCTTTTGTTTTTTTATACTTTTTTCCTTTTCCGTGTTTCCTTCCTTTGCTTAAAGGGCGGAAAGAAAGGTCTGTGCGCGAAACTTGCTCATGAATACACTCGTCGAGTTGTGATTATCGAGTAAAGTGTTACTTAGAATACACACACACACACACACGCGCGCGCACACACACACACACACATCTCCGCATCGTCGAAGCGTCAAACTCTACCCTACGAGTAATAATAGTGATAGTAATCATAATAGTAACGATAATAATTGTATTAACCCCTAAAGCTCGAGAGAGAAAGGATTCACTCGCCCTTTCTATCGTCATCACGCTACCGATGGGCCGTGATTCGTCCTAGATTCTCAGTGGATCGTCACGCGACTTCGATAGATCGCGGGTGTCCTTTGACAACCGACAGCTTAGACTCACTATGTAGACGATATGTCAACGCCAACGTCGCCGGGAACCCGCGCGACCCCGTAACGGAAACCTTCCCCGAGTTTCGTTGCCGGATCGGGCCGGCGCCGCGACCACGTCGATTGACCGATTATCCGATTGATTAATTGTTACCTTACGCGCTAATTTGTCAACTCACGCATGCACGCACGCACGCACGCATCCCTCGGTGAGAAGTCGCGCGGCGACGGCGACGCGTCCTCCGCTTCGCCGCGCGCGCGCGCGCGCGCATCTCCGCGTTAAAAGTACCGGTAATAGTGAAGATAATAATAATAACGACACTAAGAACAACGTTTCCCTCGATCCGGACGTGAAAAGTCGGGCGGCCGTGAGACACGTGCCGCGAGAATGACGAATTTCAAACGCAGAGGATGTCAGGTGCGGGGGTCGTGATACATAAAGCGAGTCGTTTGCACGGCGCTCCTCGCGGGAGCAGTTTTAACGGCGGCAGCAACTATAATGATGTACGATATAAGAGCGGCAATAATAATAATGCAATAATAATTATAGAGCGACAGAGAGGGTAATTAACGGTAAAGCGACGGGTAATAATAACGGTAACGATAATCACGACAATGCTCGCGAGGGTAATCGCAGCTACGTATTGCACACGGATCACAGAGTGGAGACAGTCGCTAGGCGTTAGAAGTAATTTACTAACGGTGCAAATAGCGTGCCAAGCTTTTATTGATAATCGTGTGTACGTATAGGTACGCAAATTATCAGTGTACTTAAATCGAGATCATCTCGCGCGATGATCTGCATATATATATATATCTTTTTTTTTGTATTTATATATATATATATATATATGTATATATATTTATATGTATATCTTTGTATTTCCTCTGTTTTGCCGTGAGTGTCCGGTCGATAAATTTAGAGATCTATCACTATGAACGCGACAGCGCAGGCACTAAATTGCTGAGATACAATCGTACTTGGACTACCGTCGCCCGTATGCCTCCGCGATTCTGCCGCGGTAGGACAAGCTTTTCGATATATATCGAGATATAACGTACTCTTGTGCGATTGATAAGATACCGATATACAAAGTCGCGTGTCTGTGTGTCGGAAACGTTTGTGACGAACCCGCGAGAATGCTGCCTCGCTCGCTCCACACAGGGGCTCCTCTCCGCGCGACACCAGACATCCGGCGGCCTCCGCGGATCTCGAGCGGATCGGCAGACGGACACGCGTGATTAGATGTCGATTCGCCGGTTATGTGGCGTCGTGTTGGCGGCGTGTTACTATTTCTAACGAAGTTGCGGAGAGCATTTCTAGCGACGAAGATGCGCCGTGAACGCGAGATCCAAAACGGCCGCTTCCCGGTTAGCGGCGCGAGTCGACGCATCATCCTGTCTTTGTTTGCTCATTGAATGTGGAACAGAAACAAAATGATGCTTGTGTCGACTTGTGTCACTAAATGGGAAGCCACCGATGTAACGGCTGTGTGTCGCAGGCGACAGAGGGCTCGGAGGAAACGAGATAACGAGAGAGAGAGAGAGAGAGAGAGAGATAACAATCTTTCAAGATGAATCTTGCAATATCACCAATTGCATCAGAATTTCGCTCTGCTTTTTTTCTTTCTTTTCTCTTTCCTCTCTCTCTCTCTCTCTCTCGACATTCGTTTTCCTCTTCGACCTCCCTCTCCCTCTTATCTAATCTCGTTGTTAATGAAGAGAAAGCGGCAAGGGTTTCTGTGAACGCGACGTCTAACCCCGCATTAAGCTATTTAGCATTGTCGATGTCGTTAATGTCGTTAGCGACTACGTGCCTCCGAACGTCTACGACGTCACCCTTTCTTCTTCCCTTTTGCGGCAACGAACCAGCCGGCGAGCGTCGTCGACTCGCGACTCTTTGACAGCGCGTTTTTATCACTCGCGGGTCATGGCCGTACCGAAGCGGTAAGCTCGGTACCGCGAGACGCCCAAAATGTCGCCGTGATGCAAAAAACGAACGCGCCTACGAATATACGTAAGCGTGTCCCTTGGTCGTTCTACGATTCACCGTCGATCTTCCGCGTCGCTCCGTTAATTCGGCGAGGCGCGTGATTAGAGGACCCACCCACGGTTTTTGACCGTCTCGCGACGAACGACGCGAAAAAAATGGCGAGCCGGTTTCCCGGATAGAAAGAGAGAAAACGCGAGGAAAGTCCTCGGCTCGAATAAATAGTCGCTCGGGTAAAATCCCTCCAAATTTCCCGCGGCTCCCCGAATCACCGGCGTGGTGTCTGCGTTTCTCGACGAGCTTTCCCGATACAATACGTAGTACACGTCCACACCTTGCGACAAAGTCTTTGAAAAAAGCGGAAAAGCCTCTGAACTCCTTTCCACGCTTCTCTCTTGCTCTCTCTCTCTCTCTTTCATCTTGTTCTTCGCTAATCGTTAACGCGAACGTCGCAATGAACTCCTCGAAGTAAGCGCGAGAACAGAGCCTCTAGAGAAAGTCCGACCGATCCTCGAAGAAAAATTCGCCCAAACGCTATTTCTCCCCCCTCCGCTAAGTGGGGTGGGGGGGAAGGTCCGTGCGTCTCGCGGAAACTCGCTCGTGGTCTACAAGTCGTGCGCCGATTTTAACGTCTAATTAATGTGATTATCATTAAGTACTACGCACTACGATTGTATGGTCAGAATGCGCTTAATCGCCGCCGCGTGGCATCGTCTTAGTGAATCTGGCAACGCGCCACCGCGTCTCTTTCTCACCTTCTCACGCACTCCTCCTCCTCCTCCTCCTCCCGAGGTGGCACTTCAAACAAACGCTCCCCTCTGGTCCCTTTCGCGTTGGCATGTCGCGGCAACCGAGTATCGCAGCGTCTCGCTTTCGATGTAAATGGACTTTAATCATTGATCCCGCGATCGTCGTCCCTTCGCGCCCCGACGACGCGGCGTCGCGTCGCGTCGCGCCGAGAAAAAACTTTCAGAGAAAAAGGCTTGCGCGTCTCACCGCGTCCGTTCGTTCCCTCCGACGTCCGAGGACGATCGTCCTCGCGCCTCTCGCTCCCTCCCGACGATCTGACGACGAGCCGTCCACCGCGACCAGCGGCGGTCGAGGAGAACGATCATCGTGTCGTCGCTTCGCTAACTCGATTTTTCACCTCGATAATGACGGAAATTAATAACGCCCCCGACTTGCTTCCTCGGCCGCCACCTTCCGTCTCGCTTTCTTCTAACGCGAAGACGTTAACGCGCGTTTTCCTTCCCGGCGCTGAGAAAAATTTCCATCGGATAAACCGATCAAATGATACGCCCGATTGTTACTTTTATCATCCGATCAAGCCGCACCTTTTCCGACGAAGTATCCGATGAAGTTGCCGACGCAGTTATCGATGAAACTTAATCGGGAAATTAGTCGCCTTTTACCCGATGTAATTTTCATCGGATAAAGGCGCGACTCGATCGGACGAAGTGGACGAAATGGTCGGACCTGATTCTGCACCCGATCGGATATATCCGATTTTTACTTTTTAATCGGATCGTCCAATCAGACAGGATATTTCTCTCAGCGGGGCTGTTCGTCTCATCGCGGGACACTCTCTGCGAACGTCCATCGCGCTTCGCTTCCCCCACGCAACCCTGATTACACATTGGCATGTTACGCGATGGTAGCAATTACGATGCGTGTTACGTATGACTGCGTTCCTCGTTAAACAGAACGATCGAGTGCGGTGCCGAGACCGCTTGGTCCGAGAAGTGTTCACGTTAGAGGTGAGCCTCGATAATTGTCCATCGCCTTTCGCGTTAATTGTCGCGTTACAGAGTGCGCTTTGAATACCTGAAACAGTTACCACGAAGCGAACGGGCGAGAAGCCGTGGCTGATAATCGGATGCGACCATCGTATCATTGTCGTGCAAAGAGATACACGACGATCACTTTGGTTCTCGAGTGTCATCGCGCAACGTGATTGGCTGAAGTATGCTAACGACGTTCTTTCTTTGGTAGTAAACTTCTCTAGGATAGTTTGCAACTGAAGCGCGTCTCACGTGTATCTATCTTTGCGCGGCTCATTGAAACAGATCGTTAGTTTGATACCTTAATCGAGATAGCTGGTGGATCTAGCCGAGATCTGAAAGTATGAATCGATCGAATCGCCGAAGAAACGAAAGATCGGGTCTAAAATCGATGTCCCAGTGGCGACGTCGAATCGCGGATCCCAGCGGAAGTACGAGGAACATCGAATTGACAAAATAAGACGCGCCCCCGGAAAGATCCTCTCTCGCAATTAATCCGGCCAGATGGTCGCTTCACGTAGTTCCTGCTAATATTAAAGCGGCGCAATAGATATTTTAGGCGAGCCCAATTACTGACAATTTATGCATCGACCTCGTCGAGATCTCGACACTCGTGTTGTCGTCGTACTGGTAGATGCCTCTTTAACTGGACGAGCTATTTACCGATGACATTTGCATTACCGAACGTGAAATTTTCATTCCTCTCGGCCGTCGGGCGGAAAAGCGGAGAACCGGGGCCAATTATTCGCGAGCTGTGGATTTATTAGGACGGCGCGGGTCTGCACGCGCGCGGAGGCGCGTGTGTTCGCTACGCGAGGCTAGTGATAAACGGTAATGCCGATCGGATTGTTTGTCGCGACGCTAAGACCATCTGTCTACGTCTTCGCGTCGAGAATCTCGACGGTGACGTTCTCCAGGACCGGGTCGGTGACGTTGTTCGTATGATTCGGCGATTTGTTAGATTTCACCGAGACGGCCGAAGCGTTCCCGCTGCTACCGCGACTCCCACGTCGCGATCCTGCGCGTGACCCTGGCGACAGAGATTTTCTTGCTAAAGTATCGCGTGCTTTGGCGCGACAGCGCGGCAGCACGACACGAAAAGCCAGAATAACTTTAAGCATGAAGACCTGCGCGAAAGAAACGCATTAGTCAGAGCAAAATAGTCAATCGTCACAACGTGGGGACGTGTGTGTGTGTGTGTGTGTGTGTGTCGTGTGCACGGAAGAAAAAAAAGCTAGATTCGAGTAAATAATTACTTCAATACTCCTTGGCCAATTTTGATTTAGATTAAGTAAGTGTCACTCGAATATAGCACTTTTTTCTATGTTCAAGTATATTTATTCGACCCATGTAAGATTTACGTAATCCAAGTAAGAATTTGTTAATTATTATCGGATTATTTACTTGAATCTAACACTTTTTTCTACGTATATACAGAGTATCCATAAGGAGAACACCTATATATCTTAGGTGTTTAAATATGGGGAACTTATTTGAGGAATCGAAAGAAATAACCATATAAAATGTTTTATAAAAATGTTTCCTTCCACGGTACTCCTCCTTTGAAATCATTCAAATTGTGCTCCAAACATTTCTCATATTATTAAAAAGGAGATAGTCAGATGTTCTCTTTGTACTGGGACACCCTGTATACGCAGCATGCCAAATACTTTTTTTTCTTCTCTCTCCCAGCGGAAGTATCGAGCCCTTGAATTGAAACATCGTGAAATGTTGGATAATATCTGATTCGCGTGACTTTCCTCCGCGCGCTTTTCACTTCTCGACATATACGAGGTGCAAAAATAAATTTGTTAGTTGTAATTTACGATCTCCAGAAATGGACAAGTGCGTATAAATTGCGTAAATTTGGCAAATGTTTCGCTTTAAGGGCAAGGGTAACGTTAATAATTCGCGGCCGAGGAGCAGCAATTTTCTCCTCATATAAAATTATGCGAGATGAATAAAGCTGTACGCAGTAACTTGCGGAAATTGTGTGCTCAGTACCGCGCATTATTTAAATTACCTGTACCAACTCTGAGGAGTATGTGATTTTAGGACGTGTCTGTGTGAGATTAAGTATGAAGATACCCTTAAACCTTACCGTTCGAATCGATCGATAAACGCTTCATGAGATCATTGAAAGTTTCAGTGAGATTGCCTCGGCGTGTTCATGAACTCTGTGCGAAAACGTGAACACACAAAGTGCAAGTGCACCTTTGCAAGCTCAAATTTGGAAAATTCGCAAATTTCACTATCGTTTCTCTCTACTTCTCGTTAGAGGGAATAAGAGAGACCTCTCTTATGGGCGCACAAGTCAAATGAAAGAAAACTCGAGTGTGTGAAATCCGTAAATAGACTTTATCTTACTTTGCTTAGTGCCGCGGAGTTTGTCTTTATTTAAAAAGAGAGGTCAGCAATTCCGAATATTCTTATTCCCTCTGGAAGTGTTATCTGTGTTCGACTGTTTTATCGAAACGTGTTCTCTATGTAATAACTATCGATGAGAAATGATCTCTATGAACGAATCGTCGTGCGAATGCAAATAACAATGTTTTACTGTAGCAAGCAACTATAATCACGGACTTCAGTAAACTATATATCAACAACTTTCTCTAGTAAAATTCACAAATTACTAAATCCAACTCACGACGTGCTCTCAAGAGGGCAAGTATAATTACGATTTGTATGATACGAGTGTAAACGCGTGAGTTACGATTTCTTTGTACATGTTTTATTCATTTGCGAAAAATAATGGCTCTCTTACACGCAGTAATAAGATCAGCGCAGAGCGGAATTTACCCTCTTAAGAAACTGTGTCGCGTTGAAAACTTTTTACAAAAGAGCGTCTCGGTCGGCAGTGTAGCCAAGAACAATAGTCAGAGAGACAGGATCTCGAAAGACAGGCTACTTTTAAACGTTAATCGCAAAGAGAGGCGAGCTCGTTAGAAAAAAGTATTTCCCGACTAAATCAAGATACATCGCTGCGTTGTAACTTTGAAGCCCGAGCGAATAACTTGTTAAGCGATTATTCATAAAAATATCTTTTTAAATTTTAAGTATTTAAAAACAAACGGCATCTCACACGAATACGTTATTAATAATATAACGGTAATTTGTTACGTACAATTAGGAAATCAAAGCGATCTGAATTATAGACAAGGTTACGTATAAAATATCAAAATTTATTTTTTCCTTTTTAAATGAAATTTTTTCTTCTCGTAATTCAGGGATCCTTTTACGATGCCCGGTCTCTTAAGCTTATCTGTAATTCTAACGATATTTTAACGGCATTTTCGAGTTTTCGCCGGAAGATTAAGTGTTAGGTCAAAGACATTACTCGCGAAATTGATTGCAGCAATGCATCCTAATGCAGGCAGAGAGATAACGCGGCGCCGGTTAACGGTATATCGCTAAGATAGTAACTACCCTCTTAGCAGGCGATACTGTACATGCGTAAAGTTCGAAAGGATTCTGCATCAAGGATCGTAAAAAGAGCTCTCCTACGTAAAGGTAGATGATAGATAGGTAGGTAAATAGTTACCTACACACGAATACTCGCACGTATCATACACACGCGGTCCTCTGAAAATCGATCCACTCCAGGTCCCGTCTTTTATACGAAATCCCAATAGACAGATAGTATGATGGATGCTTATGTAATCTAATCAAATTGCGCGACAACACGCGAACCGTGTGCAAGAAATGCGTTCGGGGAAATGTCCCTCCGGAGCCGCAAAAACTCGATTAAGCCGAGAAGAAGAATCATATGCAAATTGCCTTTACACAGCCCGTGCATTAGAAATTTGCCCGTGGATTATACCGCAACGGCTTGCACGACGTAGACTGCTATTTTCTCGACGTTAGCGGAAAATGGACAGATTTTTCAAGGGGAACAAGCGGGATGTTCATAAATCGCGACCTTCGGCGCTAAATAGTATCTCGGTAAAAAAATAATAAATCCACCTCTGTTTCTCTCGATACGATCTGTACGATCACTGTCATCGTCAATTTCGCATCTTCGATCAGATCAAATACCGTCGATTATGAGACAGACTCACGACTGGTCGTGAGGATTTATCCTTCTCCGAGTTCATCGATTTTCACGGGACCGCGTATCACTGCGTCGGAAATATCGCGGACAGACAGAAGTAGAGTCACTTGCTCTCTATGTATAAACTCGAACTTTGTATAACAAGTTGCTTGCTTAGTAAGTGAATGAAAAACCCGTACGGCTCATTCTGTGCTGTGAGTGGTGAGAGTGTTTCGCACCTTGCGAGGCGTTCGGCGAGTGGGCTCTTAAGGACGCCATCGAGGGCTGCCTCGAAGGAACTCGTACGCTCGCTCTCGAGCCGCGTCTCTCCTGAGCGTGCAAGAGTTTGTTCTCTCTCAGTAGCGAGACGTTCATGAGGCGCGCGTTGGGTGTGTTAAAGATGGTGCGATTCTCTCGCCAGCGGGCCCTGCAATATCACCGTTGCATGAGACGCAAGTCGATTCAAGTTTAATTTCCCGCGAGTGCCCTTCCTACGCGCGCCGTCAATAATGAAGCTGCTCGCGCGGCGAAAAGTATTCCCCCCGACACGGTTTGAAAATGCGACGAGAGAGGACGTCCATTAGAATCTGAATTCTTTAATCTTCTTCCCGTGAATAATCTCGAACGAAATCTGAATCTTTTTTTACCTCGAATTAGGACGGTATGCTCGCTCGAAATTTTTAAGGAGTGGAAACAAGATTGTTTTCCGCATGAAATTAAAGTCGCATTTTCCAAAAGTATTGTAAAACTTGACTTGGGAGAGTCTGAAAGCTGATGCGGACGAGAAGGGATTTTTTGCGCTTTAAGGAGGTTGTAAGGTTCAGTGTCGTACTTTCAGTGGCGCATCAAAGAGGCCACTTATGCATTTTATATTTATCGAGCAAAATTACGTTTTCGTATGTTGTCAACTTTAGCTGTAGATATTTCAGTTTTCGAATGGTCAGTCGTTTTCCAAATTGCACGAACAGTTATGTAATATTTCAATGCATATTTAGGACAAATTTCATCCATTTCTTATTATAAGACTTCACTTTGCCTTACATAATTTCCCTAAGAATTTATAAATTATAACAGTTTGATTTTTTTTTTTCAACAAAAAGAGCACGATATGTTACTTTAAATCGCGTCAACTTTAAACAGATATGTGACACAACGAATATCAGCGGCAGCGGGCAAACAACATCGGAACATTTTTCGTAGAATCGAGGTCGACCTACAAATGCTAAAACGCGCTCTATGCGCGAAACCTCTTCCTATCATAAATTACACTGTAAAATATAACGCCGAGTTATCTCCAACGGAAAATACGCGCCCAACGACGCGCGATACCGTGATATTTTCAGACAAATTTCAACCGCTCTGCATTGTATATAACATTCCGTAAACAAGATTATTTTAACGAACGCGAGGCGCATCAACAATGCAATTTTCCGGGGTAAAGCAGCGCATTCGGAATATCTGGCTGGAGTAGGGGGAGGGCTGAATTGAAATTTGTAAATATTCGATTGTAAATATTTCTATTTCTACGTATGTAAGCTCATATTGCGCTTTTAATTATTTGCGGCTGTTGCCATGCAAGAGAAACACGAATCGAAAGCGCTTTAACTCGCGGCGACGGCCGCGACGAACGAATCTGCGCGAGCTTAATCGCTGCACACTTTATTTATGCACACATCGAGATATCAGCCATATTTTACGCGCAAATACGCGCTCACTGAAAATCCATTTAGTTGAATCAACTGAATTCTTGTTTGACTATAGACAAACGAATTTTTTAGCTGTAATAACCAAAGTTTGGTTGTCCAAATCGAAAGTTTGGTTCTCTGAAGTTCCGGAGAAGTTGCAAGAAACCGAACGTTTGGTTCGGAGAACTAAACCTCGGTTCTTATAACCAAAAATTTGTTTGCCCATAGCCAAGCAAGAATTTAGTTGATTCAACTAAATGGGTCTCTCAGTGTGCCGATTGCCGGCTTAACACTCGACCCGCACTCGTGACGCTCACCTGCTGAAAAGTCTAAGAACGACGCAGATGATGATGAACATCAGTGCCATGCCAACGAGAACGCCGATCATCGCCGGGTCTATATACTGCACGCTGGTCGGTTCCTTGACCTCGGCTGGAATCAAATTTATCGGTTCGCGTTAGACACGGGAATACTAGTTGTGCTTGTGTTATTGTGTATTATTATGCTTGCAAGAATTCGTATGATATTAGAGCCATTTTTATGTATTAATAACAATGAGGTGAACAATGATATATAATATTTTAATCGAGATACTGGCCGTTGCTATCAATAACCTTTTGCCAGTTTGGCCTCGCGCCGATAAAATGATTCATCTTTTGAGATGATCCGTTCATCGACCGATTTTCGCACTTCCTTAGCATTTTTGAAGCGTGCATCAGATAGACCGTGCTGCATCGATCTGAATAGGTGACAATCAGTTAGGATGGTGTCTCGAGAGTACGCTGGTTATGGCAGGATTTCCCAATTTAACTCGAACAACCGTTTCTTTAGTCGCCACAGCGACATGCAACTTGGCATTGTCGTGAAGCAGGATAACTTTGCGTCGATTCGTGGGCTATTTGAGGGCGTTCTTCCTTCATGATTTGGTTCAAACGTCATAATTGTTGATTATAGCGATCTCCTATGACTGTCTACTCCAATAGTAATAGCTCGTAGTAAAGTCACTCCTTCTTGGCCCCACCAGATACACAGGAGAACCTTATGGCCGCGGATGTTTAGTTACGGATGTTGATGGTTGGCCGGGATTAATCCAAGACTTTTTGCGCTTAGAGCTGCTAAAATAGGTCAATTTTTCATCGCCCGTAACTATTCGCTACAAAAGCTCTTTTTTGTGCCTGGCAAGCAATGAGAGACAGACGGTAATCGGTTCGCAGTCGCAGAGAGTTCACGAAGGAACCGTCTTCCTTCCTTCCGGATCTTTCTCATTGCTTTCAAATAGCAGGATACTGTTAATTCATTAACTCCAAGCTGCCCTGCAAGCTCTTTGAATGTTTGGCCCGAATTTTCATCGAGTAATGCTTCCAATTCGTTGTTCTCCATCTCGTTTTCAACGACCGGAACGTGGCTTATCGTTAACATCGTAATCGACATTTCTAAACCCTTTAAACCTCTTTCTTCTCACAACGGGCACAATATTCTCTCCATAGGTCTCACAAATCAGTCTTTCAGTAGTCGCAGCAGTTTCATCTCGAATTAAAGAGGCGAAGCATGCAGTGGCGAAGATGAGCTTTACCTGGCTCCATCTTCAACATCGCGTTAAATCTAACGTTTTGTTCGGAACTATGAATTGGCAATCATCAATTCTGATCTAATATGGCCAATATTTAAAAACTAAAAAGCAATTTAAAGGAAAACTTAAAGGAAAACAATCGCTATGTCGCTGCTACAGTCATTTATTTGTGACCTTACGAACTTTTGCAAATACTTTATAAATTGAATTCGACATGCCCCGACGGGATTAAAGATCGAACGACTGTACACTGGATTATTGCCGGCGCGGAACGACGGGAGAGCGTAAAAATAAGCAGAGGGAAAATACACGAAGCACGAATGGGAATCAGGGATTAATTCAGTTGGACTTCGCAGAGAATCGTCGCGAAATCCTCGAGGACGCTTTTAACGACGAGTCCTTTGTCTAATTTGAAGCAGATGTCTCTTTAATTGAAATGTCGAGGTACTTCCGGTCGATTAAACTATCAAACTGTTGTTCCGCGCGAAAATCCTTTTGTCTACTTTTGTTTAAGCGAATTTTATTAGAAATTTTATCAAACGCGTGGTGTGCCGCGGATTATTTGACGAAAAATATGAAGAAAAGGCAACAGAGGGTGAAACTTTATTTCGAAACTTCTTTCATCGTCGAAATGCACGGAAAAAAAAAACTCAGTTGCTGCAACAAAATAAGGACCAGATAGAAACTCGGTGGCAAGAAATGAAACCTCGGCGACAAGAAGTGGTGTCTCTGCTAACGTGACTGAAAACATTCGTGTGAACATTCAGCCGCATTGAATCTCGGTTGAGACAACTGAGAATAATTGATTGACTACAAGCTTCTTACAGGAATTGTTTCTGTCCTTACAACTGAATTTTCGTCTGGTCAGCAGGCAACGGAAAATTCAATTACACCAGCGGTTTTTTGCTTGTGAATTTTGTAATTTTGCAATTGTTTCTTTTTTTCGTGAAAACCCGGTATTTTTGGTACTGACGTCTCGCACATGTTGTGTACATGTAGGAATTTTTTAAAGGTAAGAAAATTACGACACGAGAATTAATCTTGTAGCGAAACTCCCCATGGTCCATTCAAATTTAAATCCATAAATCAAGAAACCGCGAATTTCGCATCTTTGGGATCACATTGATATTCACTGACCCACATCGTTTCTTTACCGATTATCCTTTCAAGCATCCTCGTGCCGAAGCTCCCCGTCCCGCTATAGTAGCTATAAAATTAACTCGAATGGCGCAATCTTACGTCACCTTGCATGTGCGCCAACGAACGATCAGCCGCAATGAATAACCATCGAATTTAAATTCACTTTTGCATGGTAATTTTAAGCGATAAATGTAAATCTCGTCCGACACCTGTAAAATAAATACGTGACGAAAGTGTGTTCTCACTTGGCGGAGAAATCGAGTTATCCATTTATATTTCTCGATAATTCTGGTCGTTCGTTGCAGCATCTATTGCATCGGTCTATCGATAAGCCGCAAAAACTACAGCGTCGTTCCCATATTTCATCCTATCCTTAATTTTTCATTCCTTCGCATTCGAGCGGAATGTTCTGGGCTATGCGAGTGCATCGGGACCGGAGAGTGCGGGAACTTCGTTAATTCCTCGCTTTTGATTCCCGCCGTGTCGTATTGAAGCATGACGGCACGGCAGGATTTTCATTAAAATCGTATATATTTGGTTTCCCGAGGATATATCGGTCCTTACCGACGCAGGTTATTGCCCCGTCGGGTTGCGTCATCGGGACCTTCTCGAACATGCAGATGCAACGGCCGTCGCGGCATTCCGTTTGGCTGACCCGCGCCTCGCATTGCTCGTGGAAGAAGCAGGACTCGTTCACATTTGCCGCTGAAAAGATTTGGTTTTTAACGAAAGTTTATGCCGGCTAAAAAATACACTCTGCGAAACGCGCACACTCTTAAATCGAGAATAGATATTCTCATATATAAGCAAAAATATTATAATCTTCTTGAATACCATAATCTTCTTGTAATCTTGATTTGATTTAATTTGTATTGATGCAAGTGTTATTTGCACTCAATTCGAGGCTACAAACCTTCTAAGAGTATTATAATGTTCTTGCTTATATATGAGAATATCTCTCATTGATTTAAGATTACTTCTTCTCTGTGTGAAGATTATCGAATGAAACAGTTCTGCAGATTACTTGCGATCGGCATAGAAAACTCCGAATTTTGATCGAGGGGAAAGAAACGAGGGAAATATTGATTTATTTTTAATATCTTAATGCAAAGAACAGTCAAAGAACGGCGTTTTGAATGTAATATCTTCCGAGTGACAACCACGTTCGATTATTATTAATAGCGCTGATGGCGTTTTTTTCACGCAGCTATAGATGAGACGTGAAAAAAATCTCATAAAAGAAGAGCAACCTCTCCCCTTTTCTCTCTACCTCTGAATTTTCCCCGTATGAATCGTGATCCCCTCGAGACCCTCATATATTTTACATGCGCGGTCGTAAAGGGAAAATGAAAAAAAGACCTTATGCGGGCAATGCCGGAAAACGTAGCAACTTACCGTGTCCGCATTTATCGATATGGTTCGTGGCCTCAAATTCCTCTTTGCAGGTACACTTGTTCTTTTTCGGTTCGCAGTAAGAGCCCGCGAAGCCGCATTCACTGTCCACCACGCAATCGTCGCTGTATTTCTTTACGCCTCTGCCGGATAGATCTGCAAAAATTCGCGCTCGATAAGGAGCTGAGACGGCTTCTCAATCGCTGTATAAATTCTCTCAGAAAGTTACGAGAAGAATTTATCAGACGAAAGATAATTTTTCATACGTCAATTAACTCTATTTTCGAAGAAGAATTCAACATCAATTTGCCCCGATATATAATATATTAAGGCAATAAAAGTATAGATTTTTCGTTATCGGAAATTTTATTTCCCGCAAATGTTCGCACGCTAAATCGGCAGGTGCTGTATATACGGATGTGCACAGCTTTTAACGCAAGAAAGGCGGACTTGTCACGAGGGAGATATACCAGAAAAACCAAAATCTAGATCGAATTCCCTCCCTTTGAACGCGTGTTTGACGGGGGAAGTCCATTATCTCTCGCAGCTCCTCACTTTTGACAGAAAAATTAATCGCGCTCCGTCGGAACTTCTCGTCAAAGTGCTTCCCATCCAAAGAAAACCGAGAAACAAGGTCCCTTCATCGATTCGCGCGGCTTCATTCTCGAAAGCATGTCATAATCGATATAAACATTTCCGCACGTCTCGGCCTCGTATCGCGTTTCGGACCTCGTTTCGCGGCGAAGAAAAGTCAAGTTTCAAGTTTACCAATTCCGTCGCGCGCGCGGACGTTGAGCGACAGCAGCTGTGGGCATCCTGTGTACACAAAAGCTCCCACGGTTGCCCGTGCAAAAGGAACGTAATAAGCGAAGGTGCCGATCTCGACGACGTCCATAAATCATTACGGCGACGACACACAGTTTCGCGAAATACGGCGAAATGTCAGCGATCGACTCGCCTCGCGGAAGAGCCGAATATGAACTTTTTTCGAGAAATGGGGAGGGGAACGCCTGATTGCCGCATTGTCGGTCGCATAATGCTCCACCTTCTTCCACCTTCTTCCACCCTGTCGCCCATTCAGGCGAGGGTTCGACGAATCTTTTGGTCCTTCTCGCTTCGGATAATACCGCTCGCAAATTCGAAAAGATATCTGCTGGCTTTGTAATCTTGATGCGCGCGCCGTTCAAAGAGACGGAATGACCAGCCGGCGGGCAAAGCTTCTTCATCCTCGTCGTCGTCGTCGTCGACTCCCCGAGCTCGAGCGTATTACAGTTTTACAGGGCGCCTCGCTTTTCCGAGCGAGGCTGGGAAATGCGCTTGCCAAATGTCATCGCGACGGCGGCGGAACGGTATCGAACGGTAAATCAGATTACCGAATTATCCCGCGCTGAAAACGCCGTGTAAACTCATTGTCGTCTCTTTCCCGTGATGCCGATTGCCGATATATCGACGCGAGCGACGGCCGCGTCTCGATATCGCGAGCATCTCTCGTCGCGGAGCTCGCACGTCTTGTTCGAATGTTTCAACGGAAAATGAAACGCTATGAAATAACAGATTATAGTTTTAAAGGGTTGAAAAAAATCCGGTTATTTTCCGCGATTCTCTTCGGCTTCAGAAGTTTTTTTCTTTTTTTCATTTTTCCAAGGATTTTTTCGGAAAAATTTTCTCCCGGAAAAATTAAGAAGCAGCTCAAAGAAAGCAGTCTTTTCAAAATTATATAGCTGATAATATTAATGTCACGAATTAGAGTACGTTAAATAAACTATTGTTCTGTCAGGGCTTTCATAAGAAAAATAGATAAGTTGAATCAGTTACACTTAAGGTTTATTAATGAACTTTGATATTTTTTTCTAAAGCGTGGTTGACAAAATTAATACATTTCTATCTCAAGGAAGCACGTACGTTAGATAGCATACGCAAAAAAAAATAAAATAGGAACATTAGAACGCATTGCAATAGTGCAGCAAATGTAAGAAAAGAAAAATAATACGTAATTCGTTAGATTCAAATCAAATGAGAACTACTACAATTTTATCTTACAACGTAAGCAAATCGCGCAACAGTGTTTTCAAACACGTCTCGTTGGCTGTAAGTCACGTGACCTTCGGGACGATAACACGAATATGACTCACAATGAGCGGCAATCACACAGACGCGACAGTAAACACATCGGATTGTCGTCGCGCGTTACTTCCGATTCTCCCAAGCTGGTGAAGACGGAATTATGAGTCTCGTTACATTATTACGCGTGCTATTACGTTGTATTACGCACGATCATCTCGAGCGATTTTCTTCAGCACTTTAGCATTTTTTTAAGGGTGACTATCACTTTTTATTTTTATTAATTTAATAGAGAGAGAGAGAGAGAGAGAGAGGGAGAGAAAGAGAGAGAAATATAGAGAACCTTGAGCCCATATATTTTTGATACATTTTGACGCTCATCCATGTAACTAATTGAGAACCTAACTTTTTGTTTCAGATCTACCAGAGCTTGCAGCCATACGATGGGTGCGATCCTCGAGGGAATGTAGTTTCGACGGATGCGGATGCCGTACCGGAGGTTCCGGTTCGGGCCGAGTCAGAGTCGGTCCGAAGGTGAGTTTATAGGTTTCCTGTATTCTCGCGTTTGACTATCCGCGATCGAAAACTGAGACCCGATCGCCCGTTGATTTACAACGATCGCGAAAATTTAACGCGCTCTCTCGTATCTACGCGCATTTTTCCCATCGTGACCGTTGATCTGCTTATCTAATCAGCGAAACTATTTTTACAACTAAACGTATTTTTTGTTCCAGATCTGCAGCACGGAGCATGGCGGGCTCTGAGCTTCCGCGTTTCGGTGAGTGAGAAAAGTTGACAAGAAATTTCGAAATTCGAGGTGCGGGGTTTGTCGGTGGCGGGTGTTTGCAAAATTTCTTATGAATCAGTGAGATTTGCCCGCACCGAGAGAAAAGTAGTATTTTTATCGAGAAAATAATGTTTCGATGTTTTTATCGAAAAAGTTATATTTTTAACGAGTACTGCCATATAGTTTAGTGATAATCATCTTATCTACTTTGTACCACTATACAGTAAAAAATTGTATGTTAAAAACTCCACTGAAATTTTATGTTACTTTAACATGTGTTAAAAAATATAAAAATATGATATTAAATTAACATATAGTTGACGAAAAGAATGTGTTAATTTTGCACAATATTTGTGTACATTTTAACATATTCTCGTGTTAAAGTTACACGAGATTTTAACATATTCTCGTGTTAAAGTTACACGAGATTTCAGTGGGCCATTTTTGATAGAAATTTTTTTACTATGTATTACTTTCTTCTGAAAACAGCAAAAAGATATGGTTAACGCCGAAAATAATTAAAATTTTAGTGGGATTAACCATTTTTTTCTCTCAGTGCAGTTCGTAGATTTTTACATATATGTATTCGTGTACCGTTTATTATTGAAACATACTGCTCGAGACAATTAAGGGATCGTTTGTTCAGATATCGACATTATTTAATAACTTCATAGATTATTGAATATTTCTTTCTCAAATATACTCTATTATTGTTTCTGCGATATCTTAATTTCCTCGTCTTTAATATCATTAATAAGTTTGTATAAATATTTTTAGCATTGTTGTTATCGATTCTCAAGACATAAAATTATTCGACGTTATTTATTCGACGAAGTTATTCATTCAGTACGATCCCTCAACTGTTTCGAATACGTTAAAATGCGCATCAGAATTGTGCCATAACCCGCAAAACTCGCGATTACGTATTCCCCTCGTGATTAATTTTTCGATCGTCGCGGTAGATTACCTCAATTCTTCATACATGACGGATTACTGTATTATTTATAGTCAAAATTATCGTGAATTCGATATCTAGATTTATTATCTCTTTTGCGAAGTCAGAATTCTCGCGGAACGCAAACAAACCATCGCCGTACGCGGAACGGAATATTTTCATTTTTTCTCTCTCAGTCTCGTCTAACGCCTCGCAATCTTTTTACGATTTTTTGCACGCGATTCGCGGCTCACGAAAATATACACGAAACGCTGGAATTTATCGCGTACTTATACTTTTCGTTAAATCGTTAAATTGTCGTTAAATTCGTTAGATTGTTGAGATTACCGTTAAATCCGTTGAATCGTAAAAATCACAGTGAACGCGAGTGCAGGGGAAATTAGCGAAGCGAAGTGAGTAAGGAGTGATCGACGTGAGACAACAACCGAACGTCGAGGGACCTGGACGGATGCGATGCAACAATCAGGATGGATTTCATCGGGACGGACCTGGAAATTCGTCGCTTGGATATCGACGCGAAATGCTGAGCGTCCAATTTGAACGCTTAGATGAAAAGCGTCATTTTACGTGCATTGAACAGAAATCGCATCGATTCGCATCTCGTTTGCATTTCCGACGAGAAAAAGTTAGGGTAGTTGTGTATATTATAAATGTATTTTGCCATTTGAGAGTGCGAAAGCACATTAGAGCGATCTATACATATAATGTTTGAATTGCAATTGCGATATATCATCGAAATATTCTGAAGTTTAATTAGAATCTCAGTTAAAACTGAGACAAGTCAGACACGAGGCGAAAGCGAAAGATAACAAATAGCTAGACCGTGGAAATCAATATCAGCCGAGTCACGAAAACTCATCTCGCGTTTAATCGTTTAGAACAATTTTTTTCTACACTGATCGTTCCAATCGCGCGAAGAAAGAGAAAAAACCGATCAACGCTCACAACCGACCGTTAAGTCCCACATTCGGATTTTGCCTGTTCTAATCCTGATTGCCTTTGTTCGTCCGGCATTATGATAATGCACATGCGGGAAGCGGCGCCATTTGTCGCTGTATGTGCCGTGTCGCGTCGTTGATTCAGATCGCATCGAAATTGCATAGAACTGCAAACAATGGCTGCGCGTGTGTGTGCACAATCCGCATACACACCGTGGAAAGTTTCGCACGCGTGTCGCAGATTGCTCAACCGCAGGAATTTGATCAACGCACAGTGCTGACATTAATTACGCACAGATGTTTTAATTGATTTTCCTTCGTGTCACGCGTAACGCACGCGGATTGATGGCCGCTCTCGATGAAATTAACACATGGCCCGCCATGTGTGCGAAAGTGCGCGTTCTAAACGCTAAATTTACGTTGCCCGAGATCATTTTGACCGATGACCGCGCGACCAAATATTTCCTTTCTTCATTTTCACGCCGTCTTATAATTTTGATGACGAACAATGAAAATAGACGAAGGTAAAAATGAAACGCTGCAAGAACGCCGTCCGTTTTCACGTTGGCAAAACTGACGGACTCCTCCTTCAAGAGAGGGTGAATATTTTAAAGGAACTTGAAGGACAGTTCTGTGAATTTTGATGCAAAAGCTTACGTGGATTTATGCACATTCGTTCTTCGTAACGGGGATTATAAGCGCCGCGGAACGCCTCACGTAGGGGTTGAACAATTCATCTGCGGCGACCTGGAAAGACGGGATCAAGGGTGGCGACTATTCGACGGCTCGAAGTTAAAATGGCGCCAGGCGGGTCAATCTACGCGTTAAAAGTGGGTCAGTTCACTATGGCACGCCGCCAATGCTCTCACGTGCGAAGCCTCCCACGCTCACCGTCGTCACCCTTCACCGACGGCTACCCCCGTTTTTTTTTTCTCTTGAATTACTTTCTACCCCGCGTGCGTACGACCGCTCGAAGACGTACACGCAAGCAAGCATATAAGAGAGGAAATATGCCGACATACGCTTATGTATACTCCTCTTAATTCGGTTTATTAATTGAATCGCTGACCTGAGAGACTCGCGATAAAATGTGCACTCGTGACTACATAGAGAAAAAATATTTCTGCGGATTTAATCAAATTTTTTTAATTGCAACAAATCTGTCTTTTGGGGCGAATCAAATATGTTTGATTTCAACAAACGGGGTTGTTTGGTTTTTCTCAAACAATAAGTATCTTTGCGTTAAATAACATATTTCTTTTGTATTCTTATCCAAATATAGCAACGGTTGTCACAAGCAATAAATTATTTGAAAGAAGTAACACTGTGTTAAAAAGCATTAAAAAACTTCCTTTTGCTTCAGTGGAACAATATTTAATACATAATAACATGAATTTTTTTTATAAAGTACCAAATATTATTTCCTCTAAGTATAATGATGGTTCTTTTTCTATCAAGCAATATTGTTTACTCTAGTGAAAGAAAGTGAAGTGTTGACTCTAGTGAAAGTATAACATTTTCATTCGAACAAAATGATGCTTGATTGCTACGTCCTGGGTACCTCGGGTACTACGAATTCCTTTTTTTTTATATGATTAGGAAGCAAACGGACTTTGGGCAAGCGCTATTGTAAAAAAGATAAGATTACGATGGCTCGCCGTTAAACGCGCCATGTGTTTCCCAATGCATCTTTCATTTTTTCCGCCTTCACGTAAGGCACGTAGTTTTGTTACACCCTGGATACCCCGGGAACAACGAATCCTTTTTTTTATGATCAGGAAACAGACGGATTTGGGCTACTGTAAAAAGCATAAGATTATACGCCGCCAAATGCGTCATGCGTTTCTTAACGTGTCTATCACTTTTTCCGCCTTCACACGTGATCGGCTGAACTCAGGCTCTTCGATGAGATTAGGATTTTGGGATCGTTTATGACATCCTGATAATGTTAGGAGTTTTCCAGGCTCTCCGTTTCCCAACCTTTCATATCCGTTTTCCACGAAAACTGCTCTCATTGGCAATCGTCATCTGCCACTCCCCAAAATCTTCCCTAAAAACCTTACTCTCTGGCCACTCCAGTCAGTCATTTTCACTTCGCTTTCTGCTGCTGAACAACTCGCTGTCCAAATTGGGATCTCTCCAGAGTCAGTCAGTCAGTCAGAGTCAGTCATTCAGTCACTTCTTCTTCTTCTGCTGCTGAGTAACGCGCTGTACAAGTTGGAATCTCTTAAGTGAACTATTTCTCTCGATATTCTGGGATCCCATAAATCCGGTACATCACGATCAACGAACCCATGTTCTACGTACTATTCATCACAGTCGATTCCTAAATCGTAAGTCTCTATTTCATATTTAAACATGACTTTTAATCACTTCAATCCAATCTCCAATCCCACTTCACTCCTTAAAACACATACATACACTTAAAACACACACATACACTGCGTAATTATTATCTTCCTTGTATTATATAATGATGTTTTCCTCGCCATACCGATACGTTAAACATTCTTGTCACGTTAAATCCGATTGTATTATATTAAGTTACACGGATTACTTTTTTACTTAATCTTACTTCAATCTTCATCTTTTATTTGCATTATTCCAATAACGATGATTTATAAAAGTTTGATTAATGTTAACCCATATAACTCATTGTTTAACTTTAGCTAACTGTTTCATCTTTTAAATATTGTATCATTTACAATGACTTTTCTCATCAATTTATCACTATTATTAATCCATGTAAGAACCAAATTATGTTATTAGTATAATTAATAAACTGTTTTATTCAAAATGCCCTAAATTTAACCAAGTTGTTACAATTATTCGTTCATTTCCTTTCAATTACTTAAATCTCAATTCCCCTTTCAACACTCTCATATGGTCCTATCGCAGGTGAAGAGATTAAGTTCTTTGACCTAAATAAAGGACCACCTAACGTACGTTCTGCGATCGGAGTAAATGGACCTCTCTGGACCTTGACCTGATCCGCAGACCCGCCAGTACGTTTAGGCCTCGCGAGTGCGCGAGTAAGCGATGTTTGTTGCGTACATCCTCTTCCAGGACGTAACATGATATTAAATTATGCTGTTTATATTAAACAGACCCAAGTCGAGCAAACACGTGTACGTAGAACAACGAAATCTCTTTCTTTGGGTAAAAACGTTAGCTGTCGTTACGACGTTATTGAGATATCGATACTGTAAAGTAGGGGATGGATTACATCAGCAGGCGTAATTTCACGCTTTACCGAGCGAAGCCCGCAGCATCGTTCGGATCGCTTACTTCGTACATAAGAGTGGTTTAGCTCTCTAAGCACACGTTTAATATTTATCTTTGTGATTGATGCATCGCGAGGTACTCTTTATGATTGATGTCCCCCGCGAGATTCCGCGCGCAATTTATTGCGGAAGATCGAGGACTGACCCGATTGAAGCGTGACAGATCGCACCTCGAAATGGTAGATATAACGCTTTAACGGTAGAATTTTTATATAACGTTCCCTCCTCCCCTCTCCCCCCGTTAGAGCAGTTCTGTCATATTTATCGTTATCTGATACGGTATCGACGTAGCGACGGGGATACTTCCGCTTCTCGCTCAGGGGAGATAACATTTTTTCGGTTAGATTCGCGAGGATAGCCGCAGACGCGGAGTTTATCTGAAACTCGATGCAGTCTTTTACGACGAATCGGCACGCGAACAGATACAGTCCCCGTTACGGTATCGATTTGTTTTGACGACGAGCCAGACTTGATTTCCTGTCTCCGCATGCTATGCAGAGCCCTTTTTCTCATAGTTACGCTAATTAAGCATCCTCGATATGATCTCTAAATAGATTTCCTTTTAACGGGACAACAACGGGAAAGATAAATTGAAAAGCGGCGCTATTGTGGAAAAACGTCGGAATCCACCCCAGCGAATTCTCCGATCTGTATTGGAAGTCGTAACAATGCGATTTATCTGCATATATTTATTTAGCGTCGAAGTAATGTTTCAATAGAAGGAAAGAAATAATTGCATTTATTTTCGTTTTAGAACACGATAGTATATAGAAAAAAGTACTAGATTCAAGTAAATATATTTTACTTGGATAATTTAATTGGGAAATATATTACTTGAATCAAGTAAATCTTGATCCAAATTAAAATATTTGCTAAGGAATATTGGAGTAATTATTTACTTGAATCTAACACATTTTTTCTGTTCGTTACAGTATGTACCAGATTTCGGTTTTCAGCCAATTCAAGGTCGACCATTTCATTACATGCTCGCTTTCAGCGTATGTTGTTAATAAAGTGCACGTATGCATTCATTAAATGGTTTAGTTTAATGTTTTATTATACTGCAACATCCGTTAAAATGACGCTATAATTATCAAATTGCGAAAAAATCAATGAGGGTGCAAGCCTGACTCTAAACACTTTAGATAGGCTGTTTTTGGTATTTTAGATTCAATAGTATCTCGTTTATATGATATCCATTGTATTTGCCCTGTCTAATCCAGAGTCACGCTTAAATATTTTGTTGATGAGCAAATCTGTGATTTGCTCCCCATTTAGTCGTAATTCAATATTATTTGGGTCGCCAAGCTTGATAATATGTCTGTTGTTGTCCATGATTACTACTTTGCTTTTATTTGTATTGAGAGAAAGAGAGAGAGAGAGAGAGAGAGAGAGAAATGAATTTATTGTGCGCTCGGGAAAACTTCCTCTCAAGTGCAAAATCAGAGAAAAATCAGAGAGAGAGAGAGAGAGAGAGAGAGAGAGATAGAGAGAGAGAGAGACGCTTATATTCTTTCTCCTGATGAGCATATCGGCCGAAATCTCATTTTTCGACGGAGTCTTCCGTTCACTTAAAAACGATATGCGAACTCGCCGGCGTTCCAATTTATCAGTTTTTTCTCTTCGTTGCTTTCTTATACCTCGGGAGTATTCCGGAGGCTGAATTGACAAACGAGGCGTAAATTCAGATAGTCTTTGGCGAACAGCTATTTGCCAAAAAGTTTCACTCGCGCGAGTTACGATTCCTCGGAGAACGGGAATTCCGGGATCGGAACGAACAGGCAATTCGCGGTCGTTCGCGCTTATGTTTCGTTCTGACATATGCGTATTAACTCTACGACTATACGGCCGCGTCAGAAACTAACCGACCGAAACTTCCCTCCGAAAACGCGCGAGCTGTCATCTTCGTATCGAGAGATTCCGCGCCTCGCATTATCCGAGATGTTCCCGCGTCACCGTGGCACTGTTGATTTACTCACGGAAGATTCGAGAAACTTCACTTCCGAGGGCGGACAAGCGTAGGATAGTTTGCAGTCGTTATTGAAACTTAATTAGACCGCGCGCTAACACCTCGGGCGAGAAAGGCGAGCCGGGTTGTCTTTTAAACAAATCCCCGTAACAGTCGTGAGAAGTTCGAGAACACGCGATTCCTTCCTGATTTCTTCCATCGCCCTTCGCTCGAACCGTTCCATTTCCACGAACTACGACGGCTGTTTCTTGCTTTCTCGTTCGTAATGAAAGTAGGAGATTTAGAAAAAGAAACATAAGAAGAGAAAGAGGGAAAAAACTCGACGTCGCGCTCGATCTTCATCGGTGTACGTTAACATTGCTGCCGTTCATACACAGAGAAAACGATTTCTTCGCATTTAGCACACGTGTTTGTTTCACGGGTTTATTTAATATAAACAACATAATTTAACTATGTTAATCGACATCAAATATTATTTTGAATGAAAATGTTGTTGTTTCACTAAAGTAAACCATGTTGTTTGATAGAAAGAAAAACAATATTATTAGAGGAAATAATATTTAGGTTTCTATTTAAAAAATTCATTTCGTTACATATTAAATATTGTTCCAATAAAATGAAGAAATTTTTTTTTTAATATCTTTCTAACATAACGTGATTTCTTTCGAATAATTTATTGCTTGTGACAACCGTTGTAACATTTGGATGAAAACATAAAAGAAATATATTACTTGACGTGAAGATATTTATTGTTTGAGAGAGAAGCCAAACAATCCTGTTTGTTGAATCAAACGTTCGTCTGTTTGCCCCGTTCCAGGAGACAAATTTCTTTCAATTAAGGAAATTTTATTAAACCCGAAAAAATCTTTTCCCCCGTGTACATTTATTGGCAGCCGCCAACATAATAATTACTCTTCCCAAGATTCGACGCTTATATATAAACAATTATAGTTCAACTATAGTTGAACGTTAAGTTGAAGTCTGCCACCTTTACGAAAGTT